CGGATTAGGAACCGGAATGCCACTTGCACTCAAGGCAATGTGGACAATCGGCTTCCTTATCGTGACCACGTTGCATTCATTGAATATTTTGAACAAGGGTTGGATTCTGTTTTAATTTTCTGGGGGGGGGGGGGGGCAAGGCTCTCCTCTCACTAAAGCGGTTGGCCACCGGTTGTAAACGCGCAGGCGTCGGTCGACGAGGGCGGCGCGCTCCTCTCGCTCGTGCAAAGCCTCGCCGAGCTGCACGCACAGCTCCCCTCTTTCGCCGAGCTGTTTGCTCCCCACGCGTCGCTGCTCGGCGCGCCGGGCGGCGCGGCGCGGCTGCCGCCGGCTCTCCACGCCGCGCACGAGGCGGCGCGCGCGCTTGTGGAGTTGCGCATTGGGCGGGCGATCGCCGGGCGGAGGCCGTTGCGGCTGCAGCGACGCGCGCCGGTGCCGATCAAGCTGCTCAATCCGGTCTTCGAGGCTGTGAACAGCGTGTCTTCACACCTGCTGCTGTGAACAGGTGCCGATCAAGCTGCTCAATCCGGTGTTCGAGGACGACTTTCAGCCAGGCCTCGACGATGCCCCCCCCCCCCCCCCCGGCCCCCGCCCGCCCGCGCCGCGTGGACGCGAGCGGCGTCTCTTCACAGCCGCCAGCTGTGAACAGGCCGCGACGCCGACCCCGACCGCGAGCGCGCGCAGCTGCAGCTCCTCAAGCGCAAGGCGAAGAAGGAGCACAAGGGCGCGGCGCGCGAGCTGCGAAAGGACGGTGCCGTTCTCTAGATGCCGAGGAGTGCGGGGAGGGATACGGGGCGACACGGGGAGATGTGGGGAGATATGGGGCAGGGGGTGTTGCCGGCCTGCTCTCACAAGGTCTCACAAGGTCAAGACCCGGGGGGGAGTAGACACGCCACGGGCAGGCGGTCCACCTAAGGGGGAGATTGCGGGAGATTGCGGGAGATTGCGGGAGATTGCGGGAGGGTGTGTGCCCCGGGCGAGTCGAGAAGAGACGCGCCGTCTGTCCGGCATGAAGCAGTCGGAAGCACACCCTCCTCAGACTCAGTCCCGAGGACTCCTGCCCTACAGGCGCATTCCTCGCGGGCGAGCGCGAGCGCGAGAAGAGGCAGCGTGACGACTACCTCGAGGCGCGCGGCACCTCACTGCACACCACAAAGAGACCTTTTGAGGTAGAGAGAGAGAGACAGGTATTCGGGAGCGGGCCCCCGCCTCCAACGCTCAGGCGCGCGGCAAGCGGGCGGTGCAGATCATGCAGGAGCAGGAGCACGCGTGGAAGCAGCAGAAGAAGGTCAAACGCGACGCCGCCAAGGAGCTCTAGCGTTGGTTCTGCAGCGCGGGCACCGGCGGGCGACGAGTGTGCACGGGGTTGGCGAAGGGGGAGACCGCGGCATACAGGCGACACGGAGCGGGGCTGCGGGAGTTGCGCTTCAGCAATCTCTCGCGGTCGCTCGCTTCGTCGTGCGGCACCTCCAGACGAGACGCAGCAGCCAGCTGTTGTACTGTATTCTCGTGACGCTGCCTGGCGGCGTCTTACCAAGCGAGGTGCGTGGTACGCGGGACGTCTGGAGCCTTAATGCGTACAGCTAAAGGCTTCTCAGTAAACCAATTGTTTTTTAGCGAAACGCCGCACTGCGCAGGCTCGGACTGGACACACCAGCGCGGTATGGGTGGACGCGACGCGAACCGAGGCACGGACGACGGCGGGGACGGGGAGGGCGACAGCGACGTCGAGGTTGACGCAACGGTATCGAGAGCGCCACCCAAAAGGAGCCGGACAGCCATGGAGGTCACCGAATGGAGGGCGAACGGCACGATACGAAAAGGCAGGGCGAGGCGGATGGAGAAAGAAGTGCCGAGAAGGCCATGGTGGAGGGGAGGGACGGGAGGACGAAAGAAGGGCGAGGAGGACGAGCGGCCCGCACAGACCGCGAGCAGACAGCGCCTGCTGGCCATTTCGAGACATTCGCCAAGAACGCTAGCTACATGGGAGGGCTTCGTGAAGGATGGATTGAAAAACATTCGAACAAAGAAGAGGCGACGGGAGGAACCGGCGGAGGATGCAGTGACGTGACACACACACACACACACACACACACACACACACACACACACACACACACACACACACACACACACACACACACACACACACACACACACACACACACACACACACACACACACACACACACACACACACACACACACACACACACACACACACACACACACACACACACACACACACACACCGCTCACCCACGCGCACTGGGCCTTTGCTTGCACTTTGAATGCCGTGGGGCTCCTGTCGTCAGACGTGGAGACGCGAGGGTTGCCCCCCCTTGCCCCACCACCTCGTGTGTGTGGAGAAGTTTACCTTACCTTACCTACCTGGACGCGGGACAGATGATGACGACACGCACGAGCGACACACAGACACAAACAAGCTCACAAGACACACAGCCAGCTGGCTGCCACACACCCTGAGTTGGCGTACACATAGCTCAAGGCCGCGCCCCCCCCCATGCTCGAGCCCCCGGCGAGAGTTGTGCTGTGAATAGCAGGCGTGGCTGTACTCGCCAGGTTCCGGCGTCATGCAAACGCAGCAGACCCGGCAGCTGCTGAGTGCCCGCACGCCATGCCTTCTCTGTACGCTGGCGCTCCTCTCTACGGCCGGCGCCTTCTTCTCACGGTGGGTCACAGCGACACGATTGGCTGCGTCGCTGGCGGCAGTGAATGACGAGCGCTGCGACATGCCGCCCTGGCTGATCGGCGCATGGAACTATACTGGCTGCAACCAGACCGCGGCCGGTCTGCTCTGCCCGCGAGGAGGCTTTCTTCAGTACAGCGCGGACTGCCGCATGTACGCTGAGCTCTATTGGCCCTACGGCCCATGGTTGTGGACGCCGTTCCAGCCGTGGCACACCCAGTTCTACCAGGGCCTCGTGGTGCCAGCTCCTGGCGAGGCGGGGTGCGTGGATCATGTCGTCACGGACGCCTCGCATGACGTGATGAACGCTGTCACCGCCATCCAGCCGGGCGCAATCAACAACCGATGCCCGTACTTGTCCGAGCAGGACCCGAACGTGCTCCTGATCCGCGTCACCGACACGACGCCTTGGGGGTGGAACATGGAGTGGAGGCGGCACGTCGGGCACGAGATCCCGGAGCTGTACGACTTTACATGCGGTTGGTGCGACCTGTCTTTCGCGGACGCCGTGAAGTGGGTGAGGGAACATTTTAGCGCTCAGAGCGGCTCTGTCAGAGGCACGTGATTAAACTTTCGACTGTCTGTGCTTGCTTGTGCGTCTTGGGTCAGGCGTTGTGTTTCTGTGTGGACGCCCTGCGGGGCAGTCTGGCGTACGCCTTGAGGGGAGGTCCGCCCTCCGACGCGCTCTCGAGCCCCCGCCCCAGACAGAGAGGGGACAGAGAGCCAGCCGTCCGCTGGCGCCGTGCGATACACACCGCCCTCCTCTGACACGTAGCCGCTGCGTCTCGACTCGGTGATGGCACCCGCCGCGAGCCCGCCCGCCACGCTGCTCGCCGACATCGCCGCCGGCGACCTCGCCTCGCTGCACGCCCACCTCTCCGGCCGGCGGACGCGCGGCAGTCTCAACCCTCAACGCGACACGCTGCCCGGACGAGCGGTGGTAGCAGCGGCGGCGCGTCGGCGCTGTTCATCGCGTGCCAGAACGGCCACCCCGAGGTCGCCCCGGCTGCTCCTCGAGGCTGGCGCAGCGGTCGACCAAGCCAACACCAGAGGCACCACGCCGCTGATCATCGCGAGCCAGAACGGCCACTTCGAGTGCACCCCCACCCGGCTGCTTCTCCGCGCGCATTGGTGGCGAAGTCGACGCTGCGCCTCAGCTTGTCGCGCGCGACTCACTTGGTGAGGAAGTCGGCGGGCATGAGGTCGTCTGCGATCTTGACGGTAGGGCGGCAGCTGCGGAGTCAGCGTGTGCGGTGCTCGACACGGAGCGCCAGCCGGCAAGCCCGAGCACGCCGTGTGCTTGCTCGGCGCCCGCGAGGCGACGCAGCGAGCTGAGCAGCCGCGCGGGAAGCACGTTCCCGCTGTCGAGCATCAGCACGTGCGTGGTCGTCGCCTGCAGCGCGAGCTGGAAGCGCGCCAGACGTCCCAGTGCATGCACGCCGCTCGGGTCGGACGCCGCACCGCCACCGCTGCCGCCAATCTCGCTCGCGCTTGCACGCGCACGCGCACGCGCACGCGCACGCCTTTTAGCGGCGTTTCTGTGGCGCCGGCCGCGCTCCTCTCCCTCTCGGCGCTCGTGGCGGCCAAGCTCAGCGAGGCCCGGGTCGCGCCCGCGGCCTCGCTCCCGATGGCGGCCGCGCAGCCGACCATCGACCTCGTCCCCGCGCGCACGCAAACACACGCGTAGCGCCCAGAAGCCTGTGTCATGTGCGTCTGCCCTGTGCTGGCGCCCCATGGCCGTCCCGCGCCGCCCGCACCAGCCACGCGCCCCTCGCACCACCAGAGCAAGCCGCATATCCACTCACGCCGCGACGCGCGCGCCGCAGCACACCTCACCAGCACTACCTCGCCTTTTTTGCGCCCTGTGCAGGCTCTGCACACTGCTTCTGGCACCTCACAAGCGGCTGTACCAGGACGCGCCGCGAGTACGACGCAGATTCTGCTACCACGCAAGGCGCGCACGCACGCACGCAACCGCACGCGCGCTCATCCGCTCAGTCTTCTGCACAGCCTGTCAGCCTGCCTGCACACACAGCATACAGCACCATCAGCCCGCGTGCTCCGCACTGCGCCCCTGCCGCCTCGCGCCTGTCTGCACTGCACGAGGCGCGCGCGTGGCACGCTGCGCGCACGCACGCCCGCACGAGCGCGCGCGCGCGCTCAACCGCTCTCTGCTGCACAGACCGCCAGCCTGCCTGCACACACCAGCATACAGCACCATGGGCACGCATACGCCTAACGACGCAGCCCGCACCCCACAACAATAGCCTGCCCCACGCCTCACCACGCCGTCCCGCGCTCACACCGCCAGCACGAGCCCGATCAGAGAAACTGCAGCGCGCGCCTCTGCCCACGCCTGCAGTTTCTCTGCATTCTGAGACCTTCTCAATCCACCCCGCAGCCGCGCCTCCCCGGGCACACTGACACTCACACCGCAGCAATGAAGATGTGAGTCGAAGTATGGGATATCGACCGAGCCCGCGCCTGCCGCACGCAGTTCTTTTTACTGCCATAAGCATAAAAAGAAAAACACGATGGCGATTTCTTTACGGTAAGCTCGTGCGCATGTACTGCGAGATAGCTAGCCCATAAAATCTTGTCCAAACAAAACACTCCCTTGGAGAAAACGAATTCGCGAGTCACGAACGAACAGCGCAAGGAGATGTTGGGAAGAGTCCTCTCTTTATGCTACAAGGCAGACGCGTGGGGCTTGTGTGCGCGTGCGCCCCCTTAGCTTGCCACGGGGACGTTATCGCTGCCAAACTAGTGCGCATGTACTGCGACATCGCTAGCCCATAGAAATTGCTAAAAAAGGACACCCTTTGAAAACGTCAAACGAAAAATCAAACGAAAAATGGCGTAGTGTGTGTAGCACCGCTGCCAATGTCTGCCGGGGCGTCACACTGACAGCGAGAAGGAACTCACCAGTCCGATAAGGATCAACTGGAAAGCTGAACCCTGGGCTTAGACAGAACGGGCGTGGCAGGCTCCAGGGGAGACCACGCTCTACCCGGGGCGCTAAGGAGGGAAATCGAAGCTGTCGGGCGTCCAGCGAAAAACTCGCGAGGACACACCGACAATCCCCCCTCCCCGAGGACCGAACCTAGGCACGTAGAGCACGGGTCATCTCGGAGAGAGAAAGGGGAGGGAAGAGGGGGGGGATAAGGGAGCCGAGATACGCGGGAGTACCCTGGGAGTGAGAGCTCTCGTTCATAGCCACCATGGGGAACGGGCACCCAAGGCACTAACTTCATCACTCATTCACCCCGCGCGATCTAGCAAACCCTGGTGCAGTCGGTCTTCGGATCAGCGGCCAGTTTCCCATTAGGGCAGGGAACCCCCGGCGACGCAAGTGTGGCCTACGGTAGCCACAGCTAGTACGCGATTCAGGGGCTGGGGGGAGTGGGGCGCCCGCGCCAAGGGGGAGAGAATGGAGGGGGGAGAATATGCGTGCTCGTTTTTCTTCTAAAGCAATTTTTTTTCTGCCATTGCACGAGGCGCCACTGCGATATGAGGAAGGTTCCGCAGCCGAGCAAGAAGATGGTGATCAGCGTGCGCCGTGTGGACATCCCGCGCGTGGCGTTGTCCTCGTCCTCGACTTCTGTGGCGACCTTCCGCGCTTCCCAGAAAGGCAGCTCTGCCGCGGTGGGGCCCGTGACAGGCGTTGGATAAGACAGGTGTGGACCAACTCCAAGAAGAGCTCACGCGCAACCATCACTACTCGAGCCAAGAGGGCTATGTTACCAAGACGTAAACACCAAAAACGCGCGTCGCACACACGCAACAGCTCTCACGTAGCCAGTACCAACACGTAAACACAAAAACGCGTCGCACACACGCAACAGCTCTCACGTAGCCAGTACCAACACGTAAACACAAAAACGCGTCGCACACACGCAACAGCTCTCACGTAGCCAGTACCAACACGTAAACACAAAAACGCGTCGCACACACGCAACAGCTCTCACGTAGCCAGTAGACGTGTCGCTCCGTGGGTCGAAGCATCGCTCACAGTCCGACGCCCGCGTGCGACAGCAGTGGTCGGTCGAGTGCATCAGAACCCCGCATTCATGAGCCGCGTCTTGTCGTTGTCCAGCAGCCGCGCCTTGGCGGCCTCGAACTCGCTCGCAGACAGCGCGCCCGACTGGTAGAGCGACGTGAGCGAGTTAAGTTGGTCCACAATGGAGGGACTAGCGCTCGACGCGGCCACCGCGACGGGGCTCGCGTGCACGACTGGCACGCTCGCGTTTACGGCGGTCGCCTGGACCGAAGGGATGGTTTGCCCAAATGGCGCGGCGCCGCCGGTCGGGACGCCAAATGGCATCGCAGAAGCTCCATAGGCCTGTGAGGTGGCCCCGCCGGCGGTGAGACGCACGACGAGGCCAAAGTCGTAGTTGACGTGCTGGCGGCCGCGGCCAACGGTGACGCCAGTGGCAAGCAGTCCTGGAAGACCGCCTTCTTCAGTGGCCACTTTCTCAGCCCGGAACGTGACGCCGCGCATCTCCTGCGCCCGACAGACTGCGTCCACGCGCTGGACCTCCCTCTCGATCCGCGCCGCCGTCTGCTTCATGATGCACACGGGAGCGGCAATGAAGAGGATCATGATGGGTAGCAGGAGCACTATTGGTGAAGGGATGGCGTCGTTGAGCCACATTCCGCCAGCCACATCGCCCATGATGGCAAACAGCGCGAAAAAGAAGAGCGATGTGCCGATCGCGATGCACTGCATCCGCCGCGCGAAAGCGACGGGATCGAATTCCGACATGGCCGCGTTGATGTTCTGCAGCGCGTTCGCAAAGTCGCGCTCAGAGAGGCCTGCTTGAGCGAGGAGCGGAGGAAAGGTGCTGTCAAACTGATTGTTGACACCGCGGCAGAGCGTGATCTGGTTGGGGTCCGTGTTCAACATTTTGAGACGGGCGAGCCACAGCTGGCAAGATGCCGATCGCGATCGAGACCTTGCTCGAGCCGCGGCGGGGCCCTGAAAGTGGAGCGTGTCAGGATCGGCTGCTCGGCTGTGAACTGACCTCGCTGTGAATGTCACCGCCGTCACAGTTCACAGACACTATTGTCCATGAATGGTAAGACTGATAGTACAGTAGAATCGGGTCGAGCGACCGGCCCAGTCGACCCTCCCCTCCCCTCAGCAGAGCGGGCGAGCTGCCTAACGTTTTCTTTTTTTTGTTCACTCCTGGGGGTCGCCGCGCCGTCGCTGCGTCGCTGCTGGATATGCCAACTTTCGTGCTGTGGGTGAAGGCGGAGCTAGAGGGCGTGAAGTCGCTGAGCTTCCCATTCCCGTCGACGACATGGACTTTCGACGTGCAGCAGGCCGCCGGTAGCGAGACGCGCGAGGGCGTCGTCATGGATCCCGAGGAGGCGCGCCGCACCGCCACCGCCGGCGTTTTGCTGCCACCTCTGCACAGTGTCGTCCCACACGCGAGAGGACACTTGCAGCGGATGTGCCTCCGCCGCGGCGCCGCAGGAAGTCGAGCTCACCGACACAAAGGACGGCGTCGCCAACTTTGCGCTCAAGTTTCCGGGCGACAAGCGGCAGAGCTACGTCAAGTTTCTTGCGCCGGGCGAGAAGCACAAGGAGCTAGAGAAGCACAAGGTCAACTCTTTGTAGATGGGAATGGGAGAACGGCACAGGCCGCCATGCACACACACACATAGAGGAGAGAGGTGAAGACACAGTCTGGCCGGTGTCGCGACACCAGGCGGGTGGGCCACGCCGCTAGGTCAAGCTGCGAGCTCAGACCGCCGACGACGGCGACCTCGTGCCGGTGCTGGCGATGGAGTGCCGCGGGCTCGAGCCGATCAAATGGCACCCGACGGGCGCGCATGCCTAGAGGCTGATTACACGGATCCGTTTTGGGAGGGAGGCTGGGCTGTACTCCGCCGTAGTCGCTGCATTCGGAGCCCCTGCGCCTCACGGATACCGCGGCCACACCGTGGCATTGGCGTGCTCGCACCGTAGGCCCGTATGAGGCCGAGAGCGAGAGCGGCGTGGTGTTTGACGGTGTGAGGCTCGACGAGGGCGACGACTGGTGCGACTACGACGAGAAGGCGGAGGCTAGCATGACGGTGGGGAGGGAGGTGCGGTACGAGTTTCGACGGCTGTGAGGACTGGGCGGCAGCTGCTGCTCGCCGCGCGGGGAGGTTACCGTACTGCTGCAGGCGGGCGGGCCAGCGCGTTGCGAGGCGTCCCGATCCCGAGCGCGCCGCTTCCATCGCTCCAGACAGTACGTCCCAGTGAGGATTGCGGTGTAAGGTAAGGTCAGGTAAGAAAGGTAAACTTCTCTACACACACGAGGTGGTGGGCCAGAAGGTGGGGCAAGGGGGGACGATCGCACCCTCGAGCGTCTCCACGTCTAGACGACAGGTGCGTATAAACAGAGCAACCGCCAAGAACACGGCGGGCACGTGCCACGTCGCCCCATGGCGCGCGTAGCTATGACAGGGACCGCGGCCGCGGATCCGGCGGCGGACGGGGCTGGCGCGCAAGCGCCGGCCACCGTCGGGCCGCCGGGGATGCGCCGCGGACGGCCCTGGAATAGCAGCGATCGCGCGCACATGCAAGACTGCCTCATTGCCGCAAGGCTTGCAGGTGTGTCGCAGCTCAGGTATGAGGTCCCTGGCTACGGGACGGCGACCTTCGACCTGAAGCACGAGAAGGCCGCGGGCGACCGCGAGCCGGTGCAGGCGGCGGAGCGCTCGTTCGTCGAGCGCACCGCGCCGCGGAAGGAGGAGCTGACGGAGGAGCAGAAGGATGCTCGGGCCGCGGCTCGCAGGGCCAAAAAGGCCCGGCAGAAGGCGAACAAGGCGGAGAAGGCTGCGGCGGCGGCTGCGAGCGAGGCTGAGCGTGCGGACTACCCGCACGCGCAGCTGCGCGAGAACGTCGAGTTCGTCATGGACGGCCTGGAGGCTGCGACGCAGGCGGCGCGCAACCCAGCGGGGTCCAATATTCAGGTCGCCTACTCGCTGCCTCCCGAGGGGGGCAGCGGGTTCGGCGACCTGGTGTACGCCACGGTCCCTCTGGGCTCCGTGGCGACCAAGGTCGCCCGGGACTGGCTCGCCAACGAGCTCTACGAGCCGTCCCGGGGCGGCAAAATTGATGCGGCCTGCAGGGACCGAAAGGTCGCCGACCTGATCACGGCTGCCGGCGCCTCGGCGCCGGCCGACGCCGTGTTCGGCGGCAGGTTCGCGACGGGCGAGACGCCCCGCTCGACGACCTCCGCCTCCGAGGCGAACGAGGGCGACGGCGCCGGCGGCGATGGCGGGACCGGCTTCGACCTGTTCGGGCCGGACCCCACCCCCATGGAGGACCTTTGAGGCCCTCCCCAGTCTCACCCCACCTTACCTCTGCCCCCCCCTCCCCCCATCCCTCTGCCTCCCATAGGGCAGGATAGCACTAGCATATGCGCCTAGTGCGCACACTGGGCCCACATAGATGTGACCCGCCCGCTCGAGTGCGGCGTCCGGATGCTAGTGCTTGAGAAGACACCACAAACGCGGCACGGCCCGTTTTGGATGTCTGCGGAGATTCTGTCTTAGCACACACAGTGAGTCATTCGGAGTCATTCGATGGCCAGAGTGCGATTGTGTGTGTGCGGGAGTTGGTTTGTCGGGAGGGAGGGGCAGGCTGCTCACCCACGTGCACCGGGCCAGTGCTTGCACTTTGAATGCCGTGGGGCTCCTGCCCGTGTCCGGGCGTGGAGATGCGAGGGTCGCCCCCCCTTGCCCCACCACTTTGTGTGTGTGGAGAAATCTACCTTACCTTACCTTACCAGCAACCGCCTGTGAGCTGTGTATGCCTGTCACCCCAATGAGCACACCAGTGAGGGTGGGCGAGACGATCGAGGGGTCCCCGCGTACCATGCGGAACCGACCCTATCCGGTGCTCAAGTGCTCAAGAGGCGGACGCCCAAGGGTGGGCGACGGCTAGCGCACCACACCCCTCTCCTTAAAATCCCTGTGTGGTGGCGGCATGCCGTCCTCCCATCCCTCCCTTGGGTTGTCTTGGAGCACTTGGAGTGCAGTCGGCAACCTCACATCCAGGGCCGGTGAGCTGAGAAGCGCATTGTCCGTTTTCTTTCTTTCTTTTTCCCTCCCATTCCCTCCCTTGGGTTGTCTGTTTTTGTCTTTCTTTCCTTTCCTTGCGCACGGACCGAGGATGGCGGGGGGACAAAATAGAATTTAAATAAAATAGAAAAACACCGGCAAAGGAAGTTTCGTGCAAAACTATGCTCCAAAACTATCTTACAATCACTCGCACACGTGCCTCGCGACGCCTCGCCCAAACCGACTTCTTGGCCCGGTGCACTCTAGGAGACGCATGGGCCACAACACGTGGAAGGGGCAACGCTGCCGACTGCTGCTGCTGTGCTTCTTCGCCGTACGCTGCTTCGGTGCGACTGGGCAGGATGTGACTGTGACGCACGCGAGTGATGAGCGTCATCTGCTACTTCTGGGTCCCAGGCCGTCCTCGCCGCCGCCGCTATCGCCGCCTCGCCAATCCAGCCCTGCCCAAAGTCAGACCGAAGAGTGCAAACACCTCCTGGACGCCACTGAATGTGACGCTGCTGCGGGTTTGGCGTTTGTGCATGTCAACAAGGCTGGTGGCGGTCTTATCAGCAGTGTGCTCAATCAGTGCAAGTTGAGGTTCCATGCAGATCGAGCGTTCCCGGTCAACGTTTCAGACAGTGGGCGGCTTACCGCAATGCACATGAGCGTCACGACTTGGCAAAAATACCTTGAGGCCGCTGGGATCAAGCTTGACCGGACCTTTTTCTTTGCCAGCGTCCGCAACCCGTACGAGAGGATGGTGTCGAACTTTTACTACCACGCTAATATGGGCAAGCTGGAGAAGAGCACTGGGAACAGCCCTCCATCTTACTACACCAAAGACTTTTTCCGTAGCATCCGCAACGACACAGCAAGAACAGTCAGCATGTATCACGACTGGTTGGTCCGTCTGGACACCGCGCATCCAGTGGGCTCTGCCAAGCAATACCTGTTTTCGGTGAATCTCGCTCCGGCGCGAGACGACCCTTCAGCAGTGGGATGGCTGAAGCGCGCTGATCAGAGGGGTTTTCAAGGGAGGGGGTTCTGGTTCGACTCCACCATGCTGAATGATGCGATGCCGCACTTGCTGCACAAGTGCCTGCCGGAGTGCCCAGTCGAAACATTCTCCGAGGCTCAAGCACAAGGCGCCACAGCCCATATAAGTCCTCACCCGCCATCTGCAGACCACTACCGGGGCGTGGCCGGAAGGCAGGCTGCTCTCATAGTTGAGCGGCAGATGCGAAGAGACTTTGAAGAGCTTGGCTACGTGAAGGGCGTGTACTCAGGCCCCCCTCCCGTGTCGAGTTGCTCAAGGTGGGGCTGAACCCCATTGGGGCGCCTCTCTCACTTAGAGACCGACGGGGAACTCAAAAGATGATTTCCATATCGTGAGGTCGCAAGCTAGAGCAGCCCGGTGGAGCGACCAGCACTTCGCTCTACTGGCAAACTTTTCTAGCTGACATGCGCGCCCCGCCGACATTACGGCGGGCGCGCTGCGGTCGCACGCCTCCCAAGTCATATGCCACGGCGTGCGATCTAGATTCAGCACACGCGCCTCTGCTCGCGAACACCGTCATCCAATGAATTGTCATCACCCGTGAGTGCGAGATAGGGCTAGCGGCTGGCCGCTATACCTGTAGCGGGGCTGGCCGCTATACCTGTAGCGGGGCTGGCCGCTAGCCTCTGAGGAGGGCGTCCATAGACACCTCACATGACCCCACACACGGTCTCGTCCGTGCCTCGCCGGCCGGCTAGATTGCTAGAGGTGGAGCAAGCTGCTCTAGCCTCGCATGTTACTCCTGTCGTCTGTTGTGATGTTGTGCCCTTGTTTGTTTCTCTTGGCACCTTGGAGTGCTGGGGGGGGCGACAGGAAGAATGTGGCCCTGAGTGATGTGTACGCCAACTCCGGGTGTGTGGCAGCCAGCTGGCTGTGTGTCTTGTGAGCTTGTTTGTGTCTGTGTGTCGTTCGTGCGTGTCGTCATCATCTGTCTCGCGTCTACCCATACCGCGTTGGTGTCCAGTCCGAGCCTGCCTGTGTGTGTGTGTGTGTGTGTGTGTGTGTGTGTGTGTGTGTGTGTGTGTGTGTGTGTGTGTGTGTGTGTGTGTGTGTGTGTGTGTGTGTGTGTGTGTGTGTGTGTGTGTGTGTGTGTGTGTGTGTGTGTGTGTGTGTGTGTGTGTGTGTGTGTGTGTGTGTGTGTGTGTGTGTGTGTGTGTGTGTGTGTGTGTGTGTGTGTGTGTTGTGACTCACTCGGGATGTAGCCGTGATTTCTTTTTTCTTGGTACCTGCCATCGTTGCTGGTCACGGCTGCTTCGGGCACACGCATGCTGTCTCGAGCCGCAGTGCGTCTACCGTTGCGCCGCCGAGGCTATTATGCGACCGCACACTGCCGCCGAGGCTACGCGACAGCGGTAGAGGTGTGGAGGGAGGTCAACAGCCTCGCCGCTCAGCCAGGAATGATCAACATGGGCCAGGGGTTCCCGGACTTTGCCGGCTCGCTGACGGCCCGGCAGGCGGCGGCGGAGGCGCTCCTGGTAGGCTCCGCCGCCGCGAACCAGTACAGCGCTCCCGCCGGCCTTTCGGAGCTGCGCGAGGAGGTGAGCCGCCTGTACGCCCGCCTCTACCCTGGCGATGCCTACGACCCAGCGTCCGAGGTGGTGATCTGCACGAGCGGGCAGGAGAGCCTCAACGCGGCGCTGCGCGCCTGCGTGAGCGAGCAGGTGTCGCGCGGAGGCCGCGACGGAGTGATCGTCTTCGAGCCGTACTTCCCGTTCACGCAAGGCGCTCTCGACAACGCACCGGCCGTGATGCAGCCCGTGCGAACTCACGCACCTGGCTTCGCGATCGACGCCGCCGCGCTGCGCGCCGCCGTCACGCCCAGAACAGGCGCTCGTCCTCCTCGACATGTGGCCGAGATGTGGGCGAGATGTCCGAGAGTGCTGGTCATTAGTCAGTAACTAATCGGGTCACCACACGACCTCATTTCGCTGCTCAGTAATGAGTCAGTGACCGCTCCAGGTACCGTCCTGCTCAACTCGCCGCACAACCCGACCGGCCACATGGCGTCGGAGGCGGAGCTGGCGGCGGTCGCGGAGGTGCGTCGAGATCACCCGAGATTCCCCGAGATTCCCCGAGATTCCCCAGAGGTGCGTCGATGCAGGAGATAGAAGAACGGCGTCTCTTCACACCTGAAAGCGCGTGAGCAGGTGTGCGTCGAGCACGACTTGCTGGCGGTGTCAGACGCCGGAGCACGAGCGCCTCACTCAGTCATTGGTTCGTTCATTCACCTCCACTTCCTCAATTAGGTCTCGGACGAGGTGTACGAGCACGCAGTGTTTGGAGAGGGGTGCAGGCACCGCCGCCTCTGCGACGTGCCTGGCGCGCGAGGAGGGCGTTTCCTCCCACACCGCTCGTGCTTCGGTGTTCACACTGGCCTCCTCTGCTCTCAGGCATGCGCGGGAGGACCATCACGGTCAGTAGCGCCGGCGAGCGCTTCGCGCGGACGGGCTGGCGAATCACTTACGAATCACGACTTTAAATTGAGCCGATTGCTTCGCCCGTTGATCAGGCAAGCTCTTCTCCCTGACGGGCTGGCGGGTGGCGTGGGCGCTGGCGCCGGCGCGCCTCGCCACCGCGGTCGCATCAGCACACACGAACCTCACCTACTCCGCACCCACGCCGCTGCAAGCCGGCATCGCTGCCGCACTGCGAGAGGAGGATGGCTCTTTCGGCGGCGTGGCGCAGCTCTTCGGCGCCAACTTCGAGCTGCTGGCCACGGCGCCGCGCGAGAACCAGCCGCTGTTCACACCTCTCTACTCTCTGTTGATAAACCTCTTGTCCGCAGGCGCTGCGAGAGCACCGAGGCCTGACTGTGTGCGACGCACAGGGAGGCTACTTCCTGGTGGCGGACGCGGGCGCGCCCGGCATTGGCTCGGTTTCACGCTACTCAGTGATGTGCTCACACTTCCCTCTGTTTCCAGGCGTGCCCGACATTGACTTTGTGCGACCGCCGCTCCGTGACCGGCCGCTCTGTGAACGGCGTCTCCTTCACAACGGCCTTCGCTGCTGCGTGCACAGGTGCGCTCGCTCGCCGCGGAGTGCGGCGTCGTCTGCACGCCAATGAGCGTCTTCTACGCGGACCAGGAGCAGTCGGAGTCGTGCACGCTGGTGCGTGGTCTCGATCTGCGAGCCGCGGTATGTGAAACGGTGTCGGTGCTCTTCACGCCACGGCTGTGGATGCAGGTTCGCTTCACGATCTGCAAGTCGCGCGAGCACATCCAGCGGGCGTGCGCGGCGCTGGCGGGCCGCCGGGGGAGGAGGGAGCGTGTAGCTGGTACATGAGATGTGACCCACGTGCAGTACGCGCATGCACAGGGGTGGAAGAGCGAGAGACGTTGTAGCATGATAAGAAGCCGGAAGGTAAGGTAGAGTAAGGTAAGGTAAGGTATGCTTTATGTCTACACACAAAGTGGTGGGGTACCTGCAAGGTGCAACCTGGCTCCTGCGCGTCCTGGGTGCTGGGGGGATAAGGATTCAAAGGAAAATGAAAACGTCCCCATACGTGGCCCAGTAAGAAGGCGAGGTGCATGATGCAAAGCGCAACACACACACACACACACACACACACACACACACACACACACACACACACACACACACACACACACACACACACACACACACACATACACACACACACACACACACACACACACCGCCCCGCCTTAGGGCGTCGTCACATCCCAAGCTTTGCTCTACCCGCACATGGCGGCTGGCCACGCCGGCAGCGCCTCCCAGTCGAGGTGTGGGATGCGCACGCACGCCAGCACGCGCTCGGGCAAGTCGGCATCGGCCGTGGCCTGCAGGAGGAAGGCTAGCTCGATGTCGGCGTGCTTGACCTGCGGTTTGACGCTGTGCAGGCCTCTCTTGGCGAGGAAGGAGAAGCGGTCGACAAACACGTCGATCTCGACGTAGCTCGCGCCGAGGTAGAGCTCGGCCGACTTTCGGATCAGCACCGGCTTGCCGTTGAACTTTCGCATCGCCGACGGAAGCCCGATCTCGCCCCAGTTGGCCGCCTGCGCGATGATCTTGAAGGCTCCCGCCTCCATCCGCTTCTCCGCGGCTTCCGCGCTGAAGCGCGCCAGCATCTCCACGGCACCCCCCGGCTGCGCCTCCCGCGATGCGGCCTGCGCTGCTTCGGTGCAGCGGAAGCAGAAGGCCGCGACGACGCAATCCGCGGTCTCAGGCTCGCCGTAGAGCGTGGGCGCCGCAACCGGCGTGACGATGCTCACGACGAGGAGCGCGGGGAGCCGGCCGGGCCCCTCCGCCGCCGCGGGCAGCTGCATCAGCTCGGCGATGTGTCTCGGACGCGCGTGCGCCCGCCCGAAGTCGCTCGCTGCGAGCTCGTAGATCGCCGGGCCAGACGGCGCCTTGAGCCCTCGGCGGGGGTAGTCTGGCCCACACCGCACCGAAAAGGCGGCCGCGTCGCCGGAGCGGGCCAGCACCGCGCCCGCGCCGCAAACCGCGCCGGCCTTAGGCCGTACCGCGCCAGCAACCGTCCGGCGCGCTTCGGGGGGACGCTGCTGCAGCGGCGGCGGCGGCGGGGTCGGCGGCACGAGCGCAAGAATGGCGAGGTTGCACAGGATAGCCGCCGCCAGCAGGGCGGTGCCGGCCGCGTAGTGCGCGAGCAGGCACCCTCCGTTGAAGAGAACCAACGCGACGGCGCGCGCGAAAAGGCGCGGCGGGGGGGGAGAGGAGGAGGGTGGCGGAGGTGGCGCGCCGGAGGCCGAGGGCGAAGCTGCGGAGATGGGAGGAGGCGGAGGCAACTGCAAATCGGGCCTGCCCGCGCCGTGCTCCGCCGCGGCGATGGCGTGCCGAAGCATCGCCTCCCACTCGTCCAACTCCTCCTCCGTCCCTCGCCGCACGTCGAGCGCGGAGCAGCGCTTCGGGAGCACGTAGAAGGGCTCGGCGGCCTACGGGCTGAATACTCCGACATGAGGGCGGGAAGACGGTGTTGTGCAGTGTGTTCAGAGCACCGCGTGAATACAACGGAGGCGAATACAGTGAATCCGCGGAATACGTGGCCCTCTCGGGCGCCAGTTGGAGTACAAGACTACGTATTCTGCTACTAGGCTCGGAGGCCGGCGGCTCGCGGGCAACGATGCGCAGGTAGTGCGAGGCGGAGGAGGCGGAGGAGGAGGTGGAGCTGCGTGGCGACGCCTTCCCGCCGTCTTCCCGGGCCGAGGGCGGCTCGGCCTCGAGCGCCTGATTCACGAGCCGAGGATGAGTAGTTAGTACTCGAGTTGGCCTCGGCGTCGGATTGAACTCCACCTCACAGGTACGCATGGAGTGCTGCCGTGCTGCACACACGCGTCTTTGCTGCATCTCCGATCTCGGCTCTATCTCTCCCGTCGCTCGAGCGTCGCGCCGCGCAGCTCGAGCACGCCTCGCACCTCGCCTAATCTCGGTCAATCTCGGCTGAGCTCGGTCAATCTCGGCTGAGCTCGGATGACTCGAGCGGGCCGCGAGCTCACCGAGCAACTCGTCGCTCCCTCCCTGCTCTGCGCCTCGCCTCTTGTAGTACAGCAGCGAGAGCGCGCCGCCGCCGGACCACAGCACAAACAGCCGCTCCACCCAACCCACGCGCAGCATGCCGTCACGCCGCTTCTCGAGCACACCAAAGCCGCGCACGCCACCAAGCAGGCCGCTCTCCCACGGCCACCGCCCTCCTCCGCCCTCTCCGCCGCCGCCGCCGCCGCCGCCGCCGCCGCCGCCGCCGCCGGTGCTACTGCCGCCGGCGCCTCCGCCGCCTCCGCCCGCCGCTTCTTCCCCCGCCCCGCCCGCAAGCAGACGCTTCCGGAGGAGCGTGCCGGCCGAGTGCTGCGGCGACGGGAGGGACTGCGGCGTCGGCGGCCTACGGGCGATAGAGCTCATCGTTGAATGCGGCTCCAGCGTGCTGCTGAAGGACTGCTCGGTTGTCGGCGGCAGCCTCCGGGCTTCCCACCACGCACAGGCCGCCGACACGCGCAACTGCCTCTCCTTCGCGCCGAGGCAGGCCGCGAGGCCGTCGGCCGGGCCTGCCTCTGCGCCATCCGACAGGCGGCCGCGCATCGCACTGGCGAGCGCCTCGACCCAGAGCGGCATGGAGGAGGCGCCAGGCGGAGCCCGGAGGAGCGCGTCGCCCTGAAAGATTGCGCGCACGCTGATGCGCAGCATCTCGGAGCCCTCTCCGCCGTCGATTGACGAGACGACGAGGTCCGCGATGTCGGAGAGGAGTAGCCGGCCCGACGAGCGACCAACGGGCGACAGCTGTTCGGGCTCGCTCGCGTCGAGAAAGTAGAGCGCCTCGGAGGTCAGCACGGCAACATTCTCGCTCCAGCCGTCGTCGGGCGTCAGGCCGAGCCGCCAGGCGCCCTCGAGACGGAGGACGCGGTCGATGGCCAAAATGACGGGCGCCGAGCAGGCAGGTGGCATGGTCCGACGCGCGGGCGTGGTCTTGCTGCCGGTCCACGTCGACGTCGCACGCCGCCAGGCGCGGCTGGTGGCGGCGCGCCGCCCTCGACGCCAAGTACCGAGAGGGCAAGAAGACGTTCTCGAGGTTCTCGAGGTCTGGCGAGGTACTCCCACGCCTCTCGGGGTTTTGTCTGGCAGATGCTGGGGCGAGCCTCGGCGAGACTGCGTCAGCTGTTCCCACAGCAGGCTGGAAGTACCTCGCCAGCTCGAGGTGGATATCCTTTGGCCGCGTTGGGTAGCGAGGATTGGTGTAACCCGAGCCACGGAGGCGTGTTTTCTGACGGCCGACCGTCAGTGCACGGAGTTGCCCCTTCTCCGACTGCCCCGGCTAGTTCACGAGTTTCGCGGGAGTGACCCCATGCGTCAAACCCGAGACCTAGCGCGGGTGGGTTGGAGGGGCCTCGGAAAGGCGCGCAAGCACGCCCTACGTCTTCCCCTCCTCCCCATCGGGCCGCATGAGCGGCCACGCCTCGCAGATTCGTTTCCGCGCCTGGGTCAGGCGCGCGGGGCATCCCCCGGGTCGCTCGACCAGCGATCCGAAGAGTGGCCGCTATGCGAAGGAAAGAGTGGGGCCCTCGACGCCTCAGTCCGGCCCTCCGAGGGGGGAAGGGAATTGCGGGGTCCCCTCGGGCGCCTCAGTTCGGCCCTCCCGAGGGGGGGAGGGGAGCAAGGGGGTGGGGGGAAGACGTACTTTTAACAGCGCCTTCGTTGTTAATAGTACAAACCCAATGGTGTGTGTGTGTGTGTGAACTTGTGTGTGTGAACGCGCCGTCGCAACTGCCATGTCGGCGGGCAGGTTGTAGGCTGGTGCTCTCGCCCCGCTGGCGGCGCGGACCGGTGCCGCGGCTCCGAGCCCTCCTGTGGGCCCGCGGCGGCTCGCCGTCGCGGTGTCGAACAATGTGAACAGTCCGGATTCATCCCGGCGTGCCGCCGGTGGCGCTTCTTCGGCGAAATTTTGATCAAGCTCTTTGTCGACAAACCTGTGCCCGAGCTCCTCCTGCTCGACTGTGCGGCGGAACCGGGCCCTGGATGATGAGTTGTGAGGCGCCGGCACCGGGGCTACAACGCGGGGCCATCTCCAGGCTGTATCGGGCAACCTCAAAATTGGCGCTTCTCTCTGCTGCTGCTGCTGCTGCTGGTGCTGCTGGTGCTGGTGCAGATGCTGCTGCTGGTGCGGCTCGGCTCTCCGACTCGACTCGCGGCGGGCGTCGCGGGCATCTGACGCGGCGGGCGGCGTCGCGGGCGGCAGCGATCGCGGCTCGACGGTGGAGGTGGAGGCTGGAGGCAGTGGTGGACCTTTGAGTTTATTTAATGGTCGAGTACGAGGACTGGGGGGTCAACCGGGAGGCAGGGGGTCAACCAGGCGACGGAGGACCGTGGGCCATCGCGGGGACTGCTGCGTACGGAGGGCGCAGCAGGCAGATCCGGATGGTCTCACGCCGGTGGGTGGCACCGAGGCGTCTTGGACGCTCAGCTCTACCTTAGCTCCTGAGGGGCGCGTGGTTGTAACCACGTAGTAGGACTACAGCCCACCACAGACACCCTCCCCACTCCTCACGTGTGCACACTCCCTCACCCTCTCCTCTCTCCTCTCTCTCTCTCTCTCCTCTCTCTCCTCTCCTTGTCTGTGCTGTCTGCCTGACTCAGGCACTAATTCTGCCGATGCGAGATTGTGTGTGGGCTGCTCCGAGGGGGGCCTGTGCGATCCGACGGGTAGGGAGTCTGTGCCCGGGCGGTGTCCGGTGCGGAGTCTCTCTCTGATCCCACCTGTGATGTTGGGTGCGAGGTCGTGGAAGCTTTGATCCCAAGGGGGGGAGCTGATCCCACTCGTAACCAACTCTCAGGGGCAGTAGGTGGGCGAGCTTCGAGCGCGCTCATCTCGATCGTCAAGGCGTCGCTACGCGCGGTCTTCCGCGGGGGGAGCTTCGTCGACGGGTGCGGGACCGCGGCGCAGTCAGTGCCGCGGCGAGGCCTCCGGCTGTTTGCGGCGGGCGGCTTGCTGCTCGCGGCGATTGGCGAAAAACTCGTCTCGCTGCACACCAAGGGCTTATGCTCTGGCGAGATGTGAGGCGCATGCGCCCAGGAGGGGAGGGCGCATGCGTAACGACGCTGCTAGAGATGCCTTTCGGGGCCCAGAGACAAAACTTCTGATGCCATGCGTGACCTAGTAGTGTCCCCAGCTATGGGCGTGTCCACGTTGGAGCCAGGTGTGGTGTGGTCGCGAGAATAGCTCCGCCGTTAATGGAGGCAACCGATACGAGTCGACTGGTGTGTGTCGTCGCGTGGTTTCGTATCAAGAATACTCACTCACACTCACAAACCCAATGGTCCCTTGCGAGCGGTCCTTCGTTGCAGTCGCACACACGCACGACGCACACGCCGCGCCGCACGCCCCGCGCGCCCCGCCCACACCGCCCCGCCCAGGCGGGAAAGAGATGAGGAGATGGGACAGCAAAGGAGGAGCACAAACACGTATGGGAGGGTTCATTCAGTTGTGCGCCACGCTGCCCGGCGTTTCTCACTTTCCGGGACAGCCCCGCCCTTTTGAGGGACGCGCCGGCCCAGAGGAAAGAACGGAAATCTCGGAATCCTCTCCGCGGCGAGACTCAAAAACAACATCATGAACGCCTATGCACACAGATTGACACATCCAGACGACTCCCGCGCTGCCTTTTGAGCGGTGTGCCCCTGCTCCCAACTGATCATCCCCTCTTGGTCTTCTTGCCCCGGGCCTTGCCGCCAACGCCGCCCCGCCCTGCCTTCTTTGTGGCGTTGTGATGAGCTGGCCCCGATTCCTCATCGTCGCCCGACAAATTAGAGAGGAATTCCATTTTCTCGTCCCCGTCCTCATCGTCACCCTTACCCTTGCCGCCGCCCTTCCCCTTGCCACCCTTGCCCTTTCCCTTGCCTTTGCCCTTTCCCTTTCCGGCCTCTTCCTCAGCGCCTTTTGCCGGCTCGCCACCACCCTTCGCCGCGCCGCCCTCCTTTCCTCCCTTCCCCCATCCCTCCTCGTCGTCGCTAGAGCCGACTGGCAGTGGAGACTTGCCTTTCGCACTCACCGTCCCATCGCTCTTCACGCTGATCCTGCCCAGGAGCGCGTCCAGCTTTGTGTGGTGTCGACGGATCTCTTTTACCGAAGATTGCCTAACCTCCTTCGCCTCCTCGATCAGCGCCCGGATGCTTTGATTTCCCGCCGACACCTTGTCAGCTATGCGGCCGATTCGCTTCTCCATGCGGTCCAGCCTGTTGGCCTGAGACTCGAGCGACTGCTTTGCGCCAATTCCAAAGTAGCAGGCTGCAGCTGCGCCGCAGCCCGCGAGAACCAATGCCGCAAAGGCGAGAAGGCAGGTGCAGGAGAAGCACGACCCAGTCGGCGGGGTCGCTTGCTTCGCGGCTGGCGCTGGCACGGCGGGCATGGGAGCGGCGCCCTAGAGTGCGTGGGGGCGCGCAGTGAGTCACTCCCAGCACAAAGAATTCTTAAAATACAACCCAAATGACGTGTGAGTGTTAGAGTTGTTTGGTATTGCTAAAAATCTCTCTCTCTCTCAAAATACAAGCCTCTCTCACAGCACACTGGCACGACAAGAAGAATTTTACAACGCAACTCCCTCGCACAAGGCCAGTCCCGTGCCCAGTGTTGTGCAGAAGAATTTAAACAGCCCAGTCACCACACGAGAACAAGGGACCGGCAGGCGGCGGCGTCGCAGGACGAGGCAGAAGAGAACGACGCGACAGAGGAGGAAATGACAAGGGAGAGAACGACGAGAGTGGGACGACCGCGAGGTGGCATGAAGGTTGCAGAGAGAGATTTTTGAGAGAGAGAGAGATTTTTATTAACCAACAAGAAATCACGACTCTCACAGTGATTTGGGCTCGGCAGCTTGTTAGCCCTCAGCCGAAGCTGGGGCCGGTCCCGTAGCCGAGAGAGCCCGCGCCGATGAGTTCGACGCGGTCGGGGGGGCCTGCGGAGAGGCCAGCGAGGTGGCGATCGCTGTACTTCATGGCGCCCTCAAAGTGGGGCTGGCTGACCCGCCAGAGGTCGATACTCTGGGCGACCCATCGGATGCCACGAATGCCTGAAGGAGAGGGAGGCGAGGCCAGAGGCAGGCTCAGCTGCTCTCGGGTGATCACGCTTTGGTGGCTGAAGGACCCGATGGTCCTGTCACATTCGTTCGTGGGGTCGCGGGGGTAGAAGAATTCGAGGTAGAATCGAGTCAGCACATCCTTGTAGTACAGCGGACCGCCAGGCTCGCCGGCAGCATCCGCAGGGAGGCAGCATATGAGGCACCAGTCTTCTGGAGAGCTCAGCAGCTGCGGCCGCGGTGGCAGAGTCGGCCGCGGTTCGAGCGAGCAGCTTTTGGCTGCGGGTTCGAATCGCGGAAGGCTCGTGCCCTCGCGGAGCGACGCGGGTCGCGCGGCGCGCGCGTGTGCGAAATGCGACAAAAGACGAAAGACGACAGGCGCCTGAGCGCTGTACGCCTGGACGTTTGTCGCCGCAATCGCCACCGCCGCCATCTTGACGAGCAGCGCGAGCGCGCTCGTCGGCGGCCAGCCGTCGCGGGCCGGGCCGAGCCCGGCCTCAACCGGCCGCGCCGCCGCAGCAGGCCCGGAGGCCCACATGGCGGCCGACCAGCTGATAAGGACTCTCTTCAATCTCTTGAGATTTTTAGCAATACCAAAGAGAAGCGGCGAGAGACTGCGAAGAGAGATAGGAAGAGGCAGACTCCCTAGGCGCTAGGGTGGGCGACGGCTAGCGCAACACACACCTCTCCTTAAAATCCCTGTGTGGTGGCGGCGTGCCGTCCCAACCAACAAATCCCATCCCTCCCTTGGGTTGTCTGTTTTCTTTCTTTCTTTCTTTTCACAAAGAAGAAACAACAAATAAGATAAATTGCAGTTTTAATGAGCTTAGCCTTCGATGTTATGAAACAACGCAAGGCGGACATGGCATATCGCTCTCGGGCCCACAGACATCCCGCACACTCGCCGCACACCCGCCGCCCCCCGCGCGCGCCCCACCCCGGCCGGGAGAGAGGGGAGTGACAGTTTGGGACGGCAACAGAACGAGTGTGTTGAGTCCTGGCTCAACAACGCAGGGTAAATGTAAGCCGGATGGCTATGTGTTGTCGAGGGGACAACGTCGAGCCGAGTGCGCGCTTGGCGGACGCCCCTCAGGTGCCTGCGCGCCAACCACCCCCGGTGTTTTGACACCATTATTCAGTATATTAACCTCGCGGCCGCCTAGATAGACTGAAAGACTAGACACCGCAGGATCGAGGCCACGGCTACTGCTGCTGCTGCTGCTGCTGCTGCTGCTGCTGCTGCTGCCAGATTACGACTTCCCAAACCCGCCGCCCGCCCGCCCGCCCGCCTGCCCGCCAGCCTGCCCGCCTGCCCGCCCGCCCGAGCCCACCTCACCCAAGCCGACCCCGCCAGCACATTCAACATCTAGGCGCTCGATACCCCCCCTCGCTGCCTACTCGCTGCCTCGAGGGAGGAGGGGAAGAAGTAGGGTTGAGCCAGCCTCGCCTTCCAACCGAGGCCCCTCCCCGAAAGGCAAGCATTAGACCCATGAAACCGAGACCCCTCCCCCCCCCCGCCCCGATCCCCCCACCCCCTTGCTCCCCTCCCCCCCCTCGGGAGGGCCGAACTGAGGCGCCCGTGGGGACCCCACAATTCCCTTCGCCTTCCCCCCTCGGAGGGGGCCGGACGGAGGCGTACCCCGTGGGCCCCGCTCTTTCCCTCGCATAGCGGCCACTCTTCGGATCGCTGGTCGAGCGACCCGGGGGATGCCCCGCGCGCCTGACCCAGGCGCGAGAAACGAATCTGCGAGGCGAGGCCGCTCACGCGGCCCGATGGGGAGGAACGGGGCGGGAGCCCCCTCCAACCCACCCGCGCTAGGTCTCGGGGGACGAAGGGGTCACACCCGACGACCTCGGGAACTAGCCGGGGCAGTCGGAGAAGTGGCAACTCCGTGCACTGACGGTCGGCCGTCAGAAAACACGCCTCCGTGGCTCGGGTTACACCAATCCTCGCTACCCAACGCGGCCAAAGGATATCCACCTCGAGAACCTCGAGAGCGGGGACAGCGGCATTGTGCACGGAGCTAAGTGCATTGCCGTTCTTAACGGAGTCGCTTAGGCGGCTCCGGTGGTGTGCCGGTGATAGTACTAGCACGCGCCAGTTCGCACCTGTGTCGAGCCTGTGTAAAAGAAAAGAAAGAAAACAGACAACCCAAGGGAGGGATGGGAGAACGGCACGCCGCCACCACACAGGGATTTTAAGGAGAGGGGTGTGATGCGCTTGTGAGAGAGAGCCTTGATTTAATTCTTTCTTTCAAGAACTACAAGGCGCGAGCCGCCGGGCGTGAGCACCGAGCCGCCGGCAGACCCTCTTCGACAACAATGCCGCCCACGATCACCCCGCTGTCGGCTGCGGCTGCGAATGGCCATCTCGAAGTCGCCACGCGCCTGCTCGAGGCTGGTCACGACGCGAGCGCACCCAACCCGAACGGTGACACCGCGCTCATGCTGGCGGCGGCGGCCGGCCACCTTGAGATCGCAGAGCGCCTGCTGGCATCCGGGTCGGACCCGAACGCGGTGGATGCACAAGGGCACACGGTGCTCATGTGGGCGGCCCAAGGAGGCCACATCCCGCTGATCAACCGCCTCCTTGCCGCTGGCGCAGCGCCGAGCGCAGTCGTCGAGTCAACCGGTTTCACGCCTCTTCTGGCGGCGGCGCGCGCCGGCCACCTCAAGGTGGTGGAGCGGCTTCTCGAGGCGGGCGCCGAGACTGGCGCCGCCGACGCCGACGGCATCAGCGTGATGCTGTGGGCCGCCCGCCGCGGCCATGTCGTGGATCGGCCAGCGCCCGCCGCGCCCCGCGCGAGAGGAAAAGCAGCGATGTGCGCAGCATCCACCTGGCGCAGCCTTGCGATCCTCTGCTCAACGTACCTGTGCAGTGTTTCAGCCGTGCCACCGCCGCCTGCACCGCCGTTTACATACTCCTATTACTCACAACAGCTGCGCTGGGGCGACGCGCGCAGATCTTGCCAGTCGATGGGCCTCGAGCTTGCGACCATCACGTCCGACCAGGACAATATGGCTGCGATCGCCGCGATCGCCGCGACAGGGGCGGACCCGAGGGGCGAAGCTTGGATCGGACTGAGCGATGCAATGAGCGAGGGCCGGTGGCATTGGTCGGACGGCTCGTCGTCGGCGTATCGCAGGTGGCAGTCTGAAGAGCCCAATGGTGGCACAGGGGAGAACTGCGCGGGGATGAACTCGGATGGCGGCTGGTATGACGTCGGCTGCAACGACTACAAGCCGTACCTGTGCGCATTCTCCCCATTGTGGCCGCCGACCGCCCAAGAGCCCAATGGCGGCACAGGGGAGAACTGCGTGGGGATGAACTCGGCTGGGGCCCCTCTTCCGACCGCATCGGCACAAGGTGTGCAATTGGACCAGGATGCGGTGGCGGCATTGGATAGCGCAAAACACGAAGAGGGACACATGAGTGGACTTGTGACCTGGAAGGGTCCGCACAAAGATCGTGTGTGGCAATCCCTACCCGAGTTCGGCGTTTGTGAAGAAGGGCACGGGGAAAGACATGTGCTTGTAGACAAGCCGTTTTCGAGCATCGTGGTCAAGGATGGTTCAACAGAATCCGTGGTGTTCGAGCAAAGCGGTGTTCCCCTGAAGCGGAATAGCAGATGGGAATGGTTTCGTGATGAAAGCTTGCCGTCGGTGGAATCAGGCAATACCAAGAGAGTATGGAGATTTCTGGAAGAGGTGTTCGGCAAGGCTGTAAAGTCCTCCTCCCCCCCATTGGGGGACGGTGGTCCTCCAAGCGCGGTGGATTTGGACCAGTTGAGAACGAAACTGGACCTCAACAAGGCTGTGTTGCTGGATTTTTTGCCCAAGGTGTTTACGTGGGAGGAAGATTTGTGGACCTCACCGACTCTTCGCGAGGAGATTGCGAAAATGTTGGACTCAGCGGATCCTCAGAAGGTAAAGACATGCGCCGAATCCATCCTCACTCTAAAGAGTGATGCGCCAGACCCGACAGCACATATTTCTTTCGCAGAGTCCCGGGATGGGCCTATGTCGAGGGGATGGGGGCAAGGCGATCCGAATTCGCCCGAGCAGGTGGCGAGAAAGAAAATGTCGGAGTACACGCAGAAGGTGTTAGACCAAGCTCGAGACGTGGTCAAATCGTCAAGGAGTTGGAGTGAGACTCTGTTCGATTCGAGTCCACGTTCCGAGTGGCTGACCACGTTGTATAAGGGAAGGCTGGGTGGTACGCGTTGGCACGCCCCAGGATGCGACCACGACGGTGTCCCCCTTTGGGATGAAGCCGGCGCCTCGAATGTGATCGGCAAGACAGATAAACAACTAGGGGCAGAGATGGATGAGCCAGAGACTTTGGCGGTACTTCATGGTCTGTCTACTCTGCTTGGCTCTTTTCACCCACAGAACCTGTCCGAGGAGGAGCGCAAAGCCGTATCTGCGTTGGGACAAGCGGTGCAAGCTTCGGAAGAGAAACTGCGGCTTCCGAAGAGAAAAGGAGTAAGTGAGGAGGACGAGATAAACGCGGACACTAACTGGGAAAGATGGGCAGAGGTAGCGTCGAAGATTACCGGCATGGGAGAATGGGGCAATGGTTGTGCCGTTATGGACGACTTCGACGGAATGAAGATCCGATTACCGCCTAGCAGTGAATGCCCAAGGGGAACACCGGTTCAGCCTGCCGGGAAAACGGTGAAGTTGCAACCACAGGCTGAATTGAGCATGCATGTTGCGGGAAGCGAATCCAAAACGTTTGGGGCGCAAAATCTTCGCGGCCTTGCACTGGAACTGGATGATATTCCGGCAGGGATTGACATTACATCGGAGCTCGCCAAACTGCCTGGTGTGTCGGTACACTCTGCCGGAGGTCCGGGGAGTAAGCTGCTTCTAAGAATGGGGGCCAACGGTACTTTCGATCCCCATGTTATGCGCGAGGTTGTGGATTTCCTTCTGGAGAAAGCCGCATCTGCGAAGGTGAAGACAGCCACAATGTACGGAAAGCCGGCCAGCGAAGAAGGGGCTTTAGAGAAGGCGCGTGCAGGGCTGAGGAACGCCGCAGCATGCAGTGCGGAGTATAGAGCGGCGGAGGCGGCCTATGGAGAGCGCGCTATGAATGCCGAACACCCGGCGGTCCTGGCGCCGGCGGAGTATAGAGCGGCGGAGGCGGCCTATGGAGAGCGCGCTATGAATGCCGAACACCCGGCGGTCCGGGCGCCGGCCGGCGCGCGGCCGCGCGAGGGGGGCGCGGCCGCCGGCCGGCGCGCCCGAAGCGTGTTACGAGCGGCTCTGCATCGACTTCGCGGCTTTATGAATGCCCTAGTTCATAAGAGTGACAACGAGTAATAGCGAAAGGAAATGACCAACGTTAAAAGCATCAAATAAAACCTCGGGAGGGTGTGTGCTGCGTGGCGACAGTTTTAATTGAATCAAAAACGAAAAAAAGAAGACTGCAGCAGAGGACGAATTCACATGAGACTGATCACATGAAGACTGATTGTGGCCAGGGATCCCCCACCCCCAGGGAGGTGGAACCCAGCATGCACATGCCCTTCACGCGCTTCCGCGACGCGTACGCCCGAGCGCGGCAGCTCCAGCTGCTACCTCACCAGCTGCTGCGGCCAGAGAACTACCGCACCGGCGCTGCGCTGCAGGAGAAGCTCGACATCCTGCGCCTCTACCTGCTGACAGGCCTTCTGACGTCGCCGCTGCCACCGGCCGCAGCCACCACTGCAGCCAACACGTCCGCCACAACCGTCGCCGCCGTCGCACCTCTCGCCTCTCCGTCCCGTTCGCCATCGTCCTTCGTGCCGCCTGCCGCACCGCCGCCAGTACCGCCGTCGCCGCACATGCGCCTCGCCCACCGTTCACCGTTCACTCTCTCTCACCGCTCATCGCCCGCCTCTCACACTCATCGCCCGCCGCCGTCGCAGAGGCGCGCGCGTCGTGGCCGGACGTGCGCGTCCGCTCGCTCGATGACGTCGAGGACACGGCGCCGCGACTCCACCAGCAGGTGGCTATCAGACGCCGCCGCACCTCACCGCCATCGCCGCCCTCCTCCGCACCTTCGCAGCTGCCACTGCCACCGACACCTCCACTTCCACCGCTGCCACTGCCGCCGCCTTCGCCGCTGCCACCGCCATCGCATCCCCGCCGCCTATCGAATTCGACGCCGCCTCTCTAGGCCTCCTGCCGCCTCCTCCTCCGCAACTGCCGCCTCCTCCTCCGCCACTGTTGCCGCCCTTGTTCAGGCCGCCGCCGTCCAGTCCAACGCCGTCTCCCAGCTGGTCCGGCTGCTCGACGCCTGGCTCGAGGAGCGGCCGCCTCCGCTTCCGCCGGCACCGACGCTGCCAGCGGACGCGGGCGAGGCGCCGCATCTCCCGAGATTGGCCGAGATGACCCGAGAGTTCGTGAGAGTAGGCGCCGGGCCTGCCGGCAGACGCGGACGACGCGACCCGTGCGTCCCTCGACTCGCTGCGGCGCGCGGTCTGCGAGGCGTACGCCGCCGACTCGCGCCGCGCGCAGCGGCGCGGCTTCGGCTTCAGCTTGCGGAGGGCGGCGTCTTCGGCGGGGCCGGGGTCTGGGAGCGTAGAAGCGGGTAGGACGCGTACTCCGCTGTGTATTCCGCAGCATTCACTGTCTTCCTCTCCGGTGTACTCACGCGGTGCTCTGAGCACGCTGCACCATACCGTACTCCCCGCCCTCATGTCGGCGCACTCACAGCGTCTTCACAGCGTATTCACAGCGTATTCACAGCGCATTCACAGCGTATTCACAGCGCATTCACAGCGTATTCACAGCGTGTTCACAGCGTGTTCAAAGCGTGTTCACAGCGTGTTCAAGGCGTGTTCAAGGCGTAGGTCCGGGGCAGGCGTCTTCCTGGACGGCCACGCTCGGCTGGGCTCTGTCGTGGCGGCGTACCCAGGCGTGCTCTACTACCCGTCCGACCTGATTAATTAGTTAATTCGTTAATTAAGTACCCAGGCGTGCTCTACTACCCGTACGACCTGATGCGGCTGCAGGGCGGCGCCGCGCGCTTCGAGGGCAACGCGTGCCTCATGCTGCGGTACGACGGCACGCTCGTCGACGGCAGCGAGACTTCGCTGCGACTCGTCTCGCCGCAGGCGAGAGATGGCCGAGATCTAGCCGAGATCTAGCCGAGATCTAGCCGAGATCTAGCCGAGATCTAGCCGAGATCTAGCCGAGATCTAGCCGGGACTTCTCGTCCCGCCTGAGGCGATGAAACTGCACTCACACACACACACACGCACGCACGCACGCACGCACGCACGCACGCACGCACGCACGCACGCACGCACGCACGCACGCACGCACGCACGCACGCACACACACACACACACACACACACACACACACACACACGCGCGCGCGCACGCACGCACGCACGCACGCACGCACGCACGCACGCACGCACGCACGCACGCACGCACGCACGCACACACACACACACACACACACGCGCGCGCGCGCGCACGCACGCACGCACGCACACACACACACGCGACGCACGCGATGCACACACGCACGCGATGCACGCGCGCGCAGCCAAGCACGCGTGCACGCGCACGCACACGCACAGCCAAGAGAGGCCGTGAGCAGGCGATGGATTGCCCCCTCTCCGTCGGCCACCTCGCCAACCACCCCCCGCGCGGCCGCGGCGCCAACGTGCTCGCGTGTGCCGTCGACCTCGACGCCTCCTCCTTGCCCGAGCGGGTGCTGCCGCTGCTGCCGTATGTGCGCGCGACCGAGGTTGGGTGGAGGCTGCGGCTGGATCGCGGCGACGCGCCGCCCACAGAGGTGCGAGCGCTTCCTCGCACGGTGGCCGGTTCCGCCGCTGCGCCGCAAATTGCGGCGCGGAGGCGACCGATCGATGCGCTGACAGAGATGATACAGCACTCGCTGTCGGAGATGGCGGTGGCGCAGGTGGCCGAGGACGCGCCGCCGCGCGGCCTTTGTGCGGCTCTTGTTCACAGTGTGCGGTGTGAATAGGCGGCCGAGGACGCGCCGCTGCGCGGCCTCGTGCTAGTCGCGTCCCGCGACATCGAGGATGAAGAGCTCTTCCTCGACTACCGGCTCAACCCGGCGACGCGCGACAAGTGGCCCGGCTGGTACGTGCCGCTCGACGAGGAGGAGGCGGCGCGGCGATGGGGTTGACCGGGGGGCTCCCGGATCTCGCGTTGCTGTGATTCGAAAGCCGCGAGGGGCGTGCCGCGGCGCCCGAGACGCAGATAGGCAAAGAATTTCAAAGCGAAGAAGGGGGCCTTCTTATGGAACTACACTGTAACCTACCCCTCCGCGCTCCGGGGTAAATAAGTAAAGGCGGCCCCTCACCCGGAAGGGGCCTTGACTTATTTATGGAACTATTCAACTAAGGTAAGGTAAGGTAAGGTAAACTTCTCCACACACACGAGGTGAGGTGGGGCAAGGGGGGGCAACCCTCGCGTCTCCACGTCTAACGACAGGAGCCCCACGGCATTTAAAGTGCATTATGGAACTACACTGTTACACCTACCCCTCCGCGCTCCGGGGTAAATAAGTAAAGGCGGCCCCTCACCTCGGTGCTAATACCTCGCGGACGGGCGGGGCACATCCACATGCCGCCTCTCTTCACGGCGGCTTGGCACACGAATATTTCGGAAAACAAACGACCTCCAGTGTCACACGACGGGGCGGATAGGGCGCAGTGCTTGCCTGCCTCGTCCTTTTGAAGCGGAGAGAGCCGCGAGGTTTGAACCAACGAGTGAAGAAGCACACAATTCTGCAGCGGCAACGCAGCGTGATGACTCCTCACCAGCAGCATTGGTCAATAATCACGTCGCCTCTCGTACCCCACCGTCCGCACCAAACTGCCACCGTGGCCCCCATGGCGCCGAGGAGCAGATGACGACGGTGGTTGGGCGGACCGATCTGCTCAAGCTGCTGCTGCAGCTCGCAGAGAGGGCTGATGCCCCCCACGTGCCTCCGCCGCCGGTCGCGCCACAGGTCAGCCCGCCCAGCCAGCTGATGGGGGTACGCATCACGGTGTGCCGCATCGATCTCAGCGCTGCTTCGAACATCGACCCTTCGCTGCAGCAACTTGCCTTCTCTGTCGCGTTGTACTTGCACCAGGCAACTGGCGGGGGCAGCGACGATGCCTCGTTCCCGGGCGGCATGCCCAGCCTCACTTCCCCGCTGCTCGAGATACGGCCGGGCGTCGCTGTGCAGCGCTGGCCTTCGAACTTTCCCGCAGCTGAGCGCGGCGGCTCGAAGCTGCACGCCGCTCTTTGCCAGGATGAGGCAAGGAAGGAGGTGCGGCCCACCGGCGAGGCCCCCGTCTTTGTTGCTGTGGATGTCGATGGCCAGGGCACACTGTGGTACGGCCAGCTCATCCTCTGCTTCATCGCGCGCTACCTTGGGCTGGAGCAGCTGTGCTACATCCGGTGGCTCGACTCGTTGCACGACCTGGATGCTGCACGCATCCGCCCCCTGACTCCCCGCGAGGCGGCCGGTCCGTTTGAGGCCTTCCGGTGGTCGCCAAAGGGGGCACCCGCGGACCAACAGCCCTCACTACGGGGTAGTGAGTTGAGAGCGAGTGCGGTACCGTGCTGCCATCATAGCAAGCCTGGCGGACGCTCTGGACGAGGAGGACCCCCTGTTCCGTCTGAACATGGACATGTATCTGCTATGATTTCACACTCGAAGGTACGATAGCACGACCATGAATTCTTACTCATGATATCAACAGACCGATCATTATATCACAAATCATGTATAAATCATGCTTTTCTCCATGATTTGATAGAGGGGTTTTCTAGATGGGTTAGATTTATGTGTTCTGAAAATGACACCACATATATCACCGCAGCCTTGTATCGCTGAGCTTAAAAGTGCTGCGCCGTTTACTTGCTCCTACTTGGCTCCGCTCGGCTCCGCTCGTGGCTCCGCTCGGCTCCGCTCGGCTCCGCTCGGCTCCGCTCGGCTCCGCTCGGCTCCGCTCACCAGCAGCATTGGTCAACGATGACGTCGCCTCTTGTACCCCACACAAAGTCGTACCGGCCGCCGAAGAGGAAGTGCAGATGCTCCAAGAATATGGGGCTCTTGCGGTTGTTTGATACCCTCACCTGCACCTGTTTTGTCGCGAACGAAAAGTTGCGGCTCGCCACATAGGCCCGCCCACCGAAGCTCCCATACTTGGGCTCGAACTTCAGCACCTGCTTCTGCCTCTCATCAAGCCCCGCAGGGTCCTTGGCCAGATTCGCCGCCGCCTCTGCGGCCTCGCCGTCGCTATTGAAATCGGCACGATCGATGATAGCGTGCATCGGGTACCCCGCCCTCTTTGCAAGGCGGTGCCCGGTCCCTACGTACAGTGAGAGGGCGGCGCCGTGCAGCATCGGCAACGCGAGCTTTTCGTCGAGGGCCTCGCTGTCCGGCCTCTGGTTACGCGACATGGAGATCATCATCTTTGTAGTCAGCACGGCATTCTGGCCCTTTATGTACCGTGGGCGGCTTGAGCCCGCCGTGCACGCGCCCGAGTGCTCGAACCGCAGCCCCTTCCCCTCGAAGATCCGCCTCACCGTCTGGGCGAACTGCTCGCGTTGCGGGTCGCAGTTCGAGCTCTGGTACAGCATGTCGACCGGCCGGGTCGACAGCGCCGAGGCATTTACCGGGGGGCGCAGCATGGAGAAGTGGCGCATGGGCGCCCAAAAGGTGTTCTCCGGTCTCAGCGCGCGCTCCCGAGCCACTGCGATGCAGAGCACCACGTGGTAATTGGCCGCCTTTTCCGCGGCGACTGCTCCGGGCTCTCCGTAAAAAAACACCCGAAACGGCCCCCCCAAGGGCCCTGGCTTGTGCACTTTCGAATGTCGTGCGACCACACTGTGCGCCAACGTTGACAGTGCGCTGCTGCAGTTGCAGTGGTAGAGAGGCCGGCCCGGTGGGAAGCCGCAGCGGAAGGTGACATGGGCCTGGCCTCCGCATCGGAACTGCCCTCTGCATCGAGTCCACACGGTCCGCTCGTCGACGCAGCCGTAGGTGACGCCGTACTCGCACGCGAGCCGGCTCTGCTCCTCTGTCACGACGACCTTGCAGGCATCGCGTCCCTTCTCAGCGAGCTCGTTGCGCCTCGCGAGCTCCGACCGCACGTGCAGCTCCTCAAAGGGCGCGGTCGCCGCGTCGCCCCATCCAAACTTCGCCTGCAACCTCTTGCGTTCCTGCTGCTCTGCTCGCCACCAGCAAGCGTCGCGCCCGACCGGCGTGACGAACTTCTGGCTCCCTACGTGAGCCGCAGGAGCATGGCCGTGGCAGCGAATACTGGCGTTATAGACGACTTGAATGCAGGTGGGGTCAAGCTTGTGCATGCTCCAGGGGCAGTGAGCCGGCGAATCCGCGAAGTGGGCGATGATGCGGATCCCATGAATCGGAGCCGCTGACATCGTCGACCAAAGCGCGTTGTTCCACACGGCGTCGTTCCAAACAGCGGCCGGGACATCCGCACGCTGAAGAGCGCCGCGCATAAAGTTCTCGTTTTGGTCAACGTGGATCGCGCACACCCGAGGCAGCAGGTTGTAGATGCACCTATGGGTGAATAGGGCGGCCGGTATTGTGCAGAGTACTCAGAGCACCGGGTGAAGAGGAATACAGTGAGGACAGTTCAATCCGGCGGCACGCGAGTAGCCTCTCGAGCGCTTGTTACAAGAATCGGATTCCGCTTCTAGGGTGCCACGTCAGGAGTCGGTCGTCGCTCGGGCCGCAAAGCATTCGCTGTGTGCAGCTCACCCAGTCGGCGGATGTGATGGCGTCGAGCACTCCGCGGGACAGGAGGATGCCTGTGCCGCCGTAGAAGAAGAGTGGCGGCACGCGGTACGAAGCGACCCCCTTGCTCCAGCTGACCTTCCATCCGTTGGCCGAGGGTGCGGTTGGGCAGGCGCAGCAGCCGTGCTCGCTGTTGTTCCGCTCGTCACCCTCCGTGCCCCCCGCGCAGACGTCGGCAGCACGGCAGGGGACGGGCCGAGTCAACTCTGCCGATCCCCTTTGCAGGCGGACTCGCGGAGTGGAGAAGCCCACGTATCCAAGCACGTTCGGCTCAGCGGAAGAGAGGCCTCTGACTTGGCGCTGGACTTCGCGCTCAAAGGGCATGCTGTCGTCGTCGCCGACGAAGAGCCAGTCGGAGGAGTGCATGACGGTGCTGTTTGCCACGTGCGCGGCCCACAGCATGTTGGCGTCCGTGGGGAACCGCTCGAACGCGCTCTTCCGGTGCACTGGCTTGTAGAGCGCTGCCCACGGCCCCGTCGGCTGGTCCGGGATAAAGATGTGAGGCTTGCCGCGCAGCCAGGTCGCGTTCGAGAGCTGAAAGCGGGACGATTCCGCCCGGCCGTACAGCGCGTAGGCGATGCGAGCCGCGGATTTGGAGCCCGCCGCCGTGGGATGCTCCCGCGCCCAGCCGCACGGCGCCGTCATGTCCCGACGCGATGGGACACTGGTGGAGGCCACGCCGGAAGCGCCGAGAATCGCGATGAAGCTGAGACCAGAGCGAGCTTGTGCGCGGCCTCGCGAGCCATTGCCCGCAATCTCGAGCCGCCTGGCGGCGAGGACTCACAAAAACGCCGGCCCGAAGCAAGAAAAAGAATTTTCTCTGGAGTGCTCCTTTTTGCAAATCAAACTTTAGAAAAAGGACACAGCATGATTCACGCGACAGACAAGGCGCGGGCGACAGCTACCTCAGAAGCCGTCGCCCCGAGCAATCACACGACTCCACAAGAAAAAGAATTTTACAACCAAAGGCAAAGCCTCTCGCACACGCACGATTCTCACGACAGACAAGGCGCGCAGGCGACGGCTTCCTTAGAAAAAGATTTTTACTCCGCGAAAGATTTCGCAATTCCACGAGCATGCCGGCCGCCGTCCCCTTTCAATCGGAAGTCAGCTGCCCCCACTTCATGCAGTGCATATACGGCGCCGCCCCGTGCTGCCTTGGCTTTACGCCGACGCAGTGGCACGGCACCGACGCGTTCCACCCCCCTCTCAGAATATGCGCGTGGGCCGGCGGGATGCAGCTGCGCGTATGCATCGTGGGCCCTCCGCCCTTGTACGGGCTGGTGTAGGCGATCTGGTCCCAGTGCGTCCACAGGATCTCTGGCTTGAGCACGCCCGCAGACCCGCCTTTGTTGAAGCCCTCGAAGAAGTCCGTGAACTGCACCTGTGGGGCGTGCAGATTCGGTCGTGTCTGCTGGCACTTCCGATCTCCCATTGCGAGCCCGGCGCGGACACAGTCAGGGGTGTGCATCAGCGGCTGACGCGCCGACTGCGATGTGGCGGGGCGTGGTGGCGGGCACCGTATCCAGCCCGCTCGCATAGGCCCGTCTCAGGATGGCAACCTCGGCCCCCATCGCTCGCCCGAGCGAGGCGCACTCCCCCTTCCCCACCCCTTGCGGACAAAAGTGGTCGACGGCCTGCTTGTGATTCGTGAACGCCGTGGTGTTGCCGAGGTTGAGAAACACCCCGGAGCCGGGAGCGCGGTAGAACCAGAACCCCATGTGGACAGGGTCGCCCGACGTGTGCATCACCTATCAACAATTAAGTCGATCGTTCGATGTGTGCATCCCCTGAGCATGAGGGTGGGAGGGAGCGCCACAGTCAGCCGCGGCGCAGTGGAGTTGGATTCGGGGAAGGCTGCGCCCAGGAGTGTGATACACGCGCGCGGCTCGGTGCAACCTCGGCGAATGAGTGACTCGGCAACCCCGTCGGGTCTGGCTCAAACGACGACAAGTCGGCCCGTCTGTGCGGCCCACTCGGCGCCCGGCACGACTGGCGTAGGTGGCATCGGTAGACGTGGGCCGCGGAAAGCAGACCACCCAGAGAGTAGAGGTCGCCAGACTTGATTGGGCAGGGCGACCCCGCCTCGATGATCTGCAGCGATTGGAGCACGCGGCCCGGCAGCCTGTCGCGGTAGAAGAAATGAAGAGCGGAGAGGTGAAGTGGGAACTGGATCGTGTCCAGGCCGTACACGAAGGAGAGGTACCCCTCCCACTCGCCGAGGTCTGCCGCAGATGCGAAGGAGCGATTCAGCGACGGCCTCGCCTCAGGACAGGCGAGACGGGGAGCTGCGCGGCGGCGGCTCCCGTCACAGTGGCATTCGTACGAGGCTTGGCCCGGCGGGAAACCGCAAGGCACCGCCCTGTTGTGGCCTGCGCATCGGAAGTTTCCACGGCAGTTTCGAACCCACACCGTCGGCCGCCCGTGCCGCATCTCGCAACCAAAAGAGCGGCCCTCTATGCATTCGGCTTTGCTGGCACTTTTTACGAGAGCGACATTGCACAACGGTCCGGACGGTCCGATGCGATGATGAGTCGAACGCGACGAGCCGAAGGAAGACTCCGTTGCGAGCGAGATTGTGGTCATCTGGTTAGCGTCCACCCATACCGCGTTGGGAGAGAGAGATTTAGATTTCTTCTCCGCGTTGGTGTCCAGTCCGAGCCTGGCTGTCCTTCACCTTTCTACCTAACCTAACCTAACCTGTGGTATGGTGAGAGGAACACACACACGCACACACGCACACACGCACACGCATCCTCCGTCGCCAGGTTGAACCCCCTCCCCCCCCCAGCCCTCGTACTCGACCACGATCCCTCTCGACCTCGTACTCGACCGACCTTCCTCCTCATCACTGATCCAGACCCGATCCTCCTCCTCATGGCTCTTCACCTCATGTCGTTGATCTCTCACCCCAGCATATTTGTTACGCTCTTCCCTCTGCTTTGCAACTGCACCATGTCCCTTATGTCTTGAACTCACATCTGATCTGACGGTGTCCCTCACCCTGCCTAGCGTCTCACCTCGCAACACACACACTCACACACCCTGTGGAGAGAGTGTGTGTGAACAGTCCGTGAGACGCCATCGCGCCGAAGCCTTCCTCCCTTAGTGCTTTACATCTGCTCGTGTCAGTGCTCGGCAGTGCTCGCCAGCAATCCTGACATGGCCCTGAATGCCAGCCATCATCACGCGCCGCCGCCGCCAGCCATGGTCCCCATGACCGACTCCACGCCGACACTCTATCCGCTGCTGCTGACGGTCGCATGCACCATAGTCATGTCCTTCGGACGGGCTCGATCAGCTTCGCTGCTCATGGTCCTCGGCGGGCCAGCAATCGTGCATAGCATCTGGCTGGGCGTACCCGGCGAGTTTTGGGCCCATGTCCTCTTTGGCGTAGTGTGCGTGACGGCAGGCGCCGTCGCCGGCCGCACCGGGCAGCTTGTCAGCGTGCCGGCATGGCAGGGTGGCACGGCATCGCTCATCTTCGTCGGGCTCATCATTGGCGAGTATGCGACCGTCGGGTTCGGCAATCTAAAATATGTCGCGCATGTCCTGATCTACGTCAGCTGTCTGCTGCTCACGCTGAGCGCCACCGCGGAGGACATGTGCGAACGGTGCTGCGGGTTGCTCGCCTGGCGGCTCGTGCGTATACGCGTGCGCCTGGCTCGTGTCCTGATCGACCCGAGCTGCCTGGCGTCCATTGGCATCATCTTTATGGCGCATCGCCACGACCCCAGCGACATCGCGATCATGTTCCATCGCGTGCAGTCCGCGCTGCTCCTCTCGCTCGCGCTGGTCGTCGGCAGCACGGCCGCGGCCGGCGCGCAGCCGGCCGCCGCAGCCGCAGGCCCCGGCCTGCACACGCTGCACGTCTTCTGCTGGGTCCTGAATGGCTTCTGGCTGCTCGGAATGGCAGTGCTCCTGTACCTGTGGCGTGGCCGGCGCGGGATACACCACACGCTGTACGCTGGCTCCGACGCCGGCGAGGCGGCCACCCTGTACTTTGCGCTGACGCTGCTGGCCTCCGCGACGGCCGCCGCTGCGCTTACCGGAGCGGGCCGAAAGGAGCTCCAGGCAGCATCTCAGCCGGAGCTCGGCTGCCGCGCGATCGGCCGGGATGATACCATGGCGCCGTTGACGGGGGGCGCAGAGGGCGGCGAGAGCTGACTTGGGCTAGTCTTGATCGCTCCGCGCTCGCGCGCCGCCATGCGCCGAATCCGTGTTGTCAGCTGCTGAGGCTGCCGCCATGTGCAGGTTAGTTATGTCCTCACAGTTGAGCACGCGCCCGGCCGCCGGCGGGCTGACGTCCATCTACAGTGCGGTGTCCATGCACCATGCTCCAAAACGAAAGTGTAAAATGCAAGTTCTCGAAGTTGTTAGCAACGCTTCTCGCTTGCGGCACCCAGCCTCTAACAACGCCTCCCGCCCTACCTGCCCCCGGCGGAGAGAGACGCTCAACCTCTCCCGACTCCCCGCGCGGCCACGTTCCACTTCCAGCGCGCAGCGGTCTCGGCGATCGTTTTATTTTTTGAGAGCGCGTCCTGCTTCAACATCGCGCACCTCGATCCTGTACCGTTTTTGTTATGACCCCCCCCCCCCCCCCCCCAAAACGAGCAACGAACACACCAGCGAGGGAGGGCGGCGAGACGATCGAGGGGTCCCGTGCCATGCGGAATCGACCCCATCCCAGTGCAACCAACAGACAGTGCAACAAACAAGTACTCGAGTGCAACCGGATGGTGTCGCAGTCAGTCACACACCGCGCCTGCAGTTGGTCGGCAAACTCGCGGCAGCCCCGCAGAACCCTGGCGGCGAATCCGTTGACGACCGTCGGGACGAGCGAGCTACAATGATGTTAATGTGTACGTATACTACAAGGAGAGCGGCTGCTTTCGCCCGCACACGACACCATTTACTGAGAAACTTGACAAAATTTGCCTTGCAGATTCTAGTTTTGGGCAAGTAAGACAGAGTTGAGCTCCGGCGTCCGGCGGTCATCAATTGCCACAGGCTGCCGCAGGCTGCCTCTTTCTTTGCACCTGTGGCGCGCAGGCGGATAGGTTCCGGTGCTGCCAGATCGGAACTGCCCACCTTCAGAGAGTTCTAGGCACAGAAAATCGTGGCGTGATGACCTCCGGTGAGGACCTCTGCACTCTTGGCAGGTGAGGACCTTTTGCTGCCTCTGCGCTCGCTTGGTCGGCCCAAATTGGCCCCACGGTATAGGACCACCGCAGAGCTTTGCCGTGTCAGGCAGGGCTGGGCTTATCGATCGTGCCTCCTTTGTAAAATGTGGAACAGTAGGACAGATGGCCACACGCGCACAGTGAGGACTCCGATATCAGTGGGAGGAGGACCTCTGCCGCAGAGATGGGCTTGTGGGGACCTCGTGTGAGGACTTCTTAGGTCGACCCTTAGGCCTCGCTGCGCTAGCTGGCCTGCCTTATCTCGCTGTGGACTGCTCCCCACGTCATGCCGATGCAGCTGTGCTGATGCTGTTGTGGACGAGGCCGCCTGCGTCTGGCTTTCCGGTGGTGGAGGCGGGACAGTGAACCCCCTTTCCAAAGCAACCAGCTGACATGTTTTGTGGTTAGAGTACGGGTCCGGTGCAGATGTGCGCTTGACGTGCCTACGCCGCACCTCAAGCTCGGTCAGACATTTTCTTATACCTAACAAGGTCTGTGAACAGCGACTCTGAGGAGAGCGCCGTCGTCGGCGGACGTCACATACACATCATCTGGACTCCATGAAGAAGCTCTCCTCGCTCGAGTCGTCTTCGCGCGAGGCGATCGGCGCGGCCGAGAGCGCGGCTCGGGCTGCGACGGGCGCCGCCGCCTCGCTCGAGCCCCACACGGCTGCCAGGGCGAGCGCTCTCGCTGCGGCCAACGCGGCGGCAGCTTCCTACGAGCGTGCCGTTCAGCTACAGCAGGACGTGGCCGATGTGCTGGGCGCAGGCGCTCGCCGTATCCGTCAGCCAGCGTCTGTGGAGCAGCAGCTCGAGGCGGAGCGGCGGCGAAGCGCGCAGCTCGAGCGGGCTCTCCAGCGCTTGCGAGCCGAGAAGAACGCCGAAGTCGAGAAGGCACGAGCGCACACACAGACGCACCGCTCTCCCCACCCACCCACGAGTGGTGCCTCACCTCTGTCTACCGATACGCGTTAGGTGCAGATGCTGGCCATCTCTCTTGTCGAGCGGGCGGAGGAGGAGGCGAGGCAGACGCTGAGAAGGCAGGAGGCGGGCGCGCGGCTGGCGCTGCGTGTGCAGCTGGCGCTACTCCGTCGCCGCCGCCGCTCTGATGGCCAGTCGTGGGCCGGGCTCGAGGCCGAGGCCGAGATGTAGCCGAGATTCGTCGAGATCGAGACGAGATCTGAGATTTTGCCAGGCGCGAGGTTCAGCCCTAGCTCGCGACCCCGCGAGATTGCGCCGAGATTAGGCGCTGCGTTCGCACCTCGCGTCGGCGATCGGTTTCGGCAAGCGCGCGGCGGGCGTTGACGCGCCCGCGAGCGTGCTCGCAGTGCACGTCGCGACGCTGCGGCGAGAGCTGAAGGAGGCGTGGAAATAGACGTTGGGCGGGGGCACGCACCGCGTAGCAGTGGCTGCAAGCAATGTCGCCAGCCTCAGCAACCTGAAGTTGTACAAAGGGGCTAGCTAGCTCTCGCACATATGGATGATATCTACACCCGCCCGGATCGGCAGGTGGAGAAGGCGAAGGCGGTCCGTACTCGCGCTTCCCGCTCAGTGGCGGGAGCGTTGCAGCCTCCTCTGCTCGGCCTCTCTCCTCCACCGCCTCCACCGCCACCGCCGCCGCCCCCGCCGCCGCCCTCGATTGCTTCGACCTCGAGGAGCACAGCGGCTGCTATCATTTTGCGGGAGGGGGCTGACTGCACGGCACGTCCATGACACGTCCATGACACGCCCCCCCACAGGAGCAGCAGCCGCGGCGGAGGGCTCGGCGTTAGCCTCGAAGACTTGGTGCGGGGCAGCGAGGCGCTTCGGTCGGCGGGGAGCACACCCCTTCTCTCCTCCCCTTCCCTGTCCGCCCCCCCCGGCGACCCGATGATGGAGGAGCTCAAGCGGCGGCTCGAGAGCCGGCGCTCCTCCCTCTCGGGCGGCACATCGCCCCAGCCGAGCCCGCGCCGCAGCAGCCTTGGGGCTGGTATGGGGGCTGGTATGGCCAATGGCGGCGGCGACGGCGACGACGACTCGCACGCGCGGCTGTGGGGAGTGCAGCTCAGACCCGCGGGGGGGGCGGCGGCGCGGGGCCGGCGACACTCGTGCTCGGGCAGGATCGAGACGGCATCGGTAGAGCAGGCTGACGCCCGTGCCATGCCTCGGTTTCCGCCCCGCGCGCCGCAACTCCGCCCGTCGCAGCTGCCGCCGCCGCCGCCCGGCCTGCGGATGGCCAGCACGCCATCGACGGTGACGGCGCCTCCGCGGCTGTTCGACGAGCCTCCGCGTGGCCAGTGCGTGGTGCTCAGGGGGCTCTCGTCCCGCCCAGACCTCAACGGACAGCGAGGCGACGTGTGGAGCTTCGAGGGAGGCCGCTACACGGTGGCGGTCGAGGGCGGCGGAGAGACTGTGCGAGTCCGGCCGGCGAACTTGTCAGCAGAGCCAGAGGGCGCAGCGTCGACTTCGGCGCCGATGCTTCGTGCTCGCACTATTGCCGCCCGACCAGCAAACGCGCCGCACGGCGCGCCGAAGAAGCTTGTTGCGGGCGGCGCTAGTAGCGCCGCCGGCGGCGACGCGGCGAGGCAGAGCTCGCGGCGGGAGAGAGACGGCGCGAGTGGGCCGCCGCCGGACGGCGGTGCGCGGTGGGCGAGGTGGAACGGCCTCACGATGGACTAGCTAGGAGATGGCCGCGTGGCAACACTGAGCTATACACAGGTATCATTTTTTCACACCGTCGTCAGACGGTGGGGATGGACATGTGGCCTCGTTCTTCCCATCTAGATGTATACTTAGGTAGTCTTTCTTTGCTGAGATATACGTGATATACATTGAAAGCGACGAATGAGCCGGGCAGCGTGTTGCCCTTGAGCTAGTCCTTCCCCGGTCGCATATAGCCTCTGCGCTGTCTGGCGAACGCCTGTATGCCATGCGGATGCGCGCGGACCACGCTTGCGTGGGTACGTGGCTGGCAGGCTGACCCGTGTGCGGTGTAACCCGCGCACGAGGAAGCTTCGCGGGTTCGAGTCGTCAGCGGAGGTGTGCCGAGGGGGGCCGGGAGGCGGTAAGCCGTCGTCGCCCGGCGCTGCTTGCAGCACCATGGCGATGGCGCTAAGAGGTTCCTCTTTTCCGCGCCCCCCCTCCGCGCACAAGGCGCGCGATATACCTACCACCTACCTGCCTACTCGAGTACCAACCAGGCGGAAGAGACGGTGCGGTGGCTAGGGAGGAGGTGGCGGAGGGTGGTTATATGATGTAACATACTTGACCCCCCCCCCCCCTTGGCGCCTCGTCTTTTCGTGCCAAACCAGCTGATCTCGGCCCGCCGTCCTCCGCTCGCGCCGGCCGCCCATGCGCTCGCGGGGCTACCCGACGCGGCGAGCCTCGTGCCGATGGACCCAGCCGAGGTGCCCAACCAGTTGGAGAGGCGCCGACGCGCCGCGCGCGACCACCAGCCAGCTTTTCAGCAGGGCCGAGCACGGACCACAGTGCGTCGAAAGAGTCGACACTCAAAGTAGCTGTCGAGTTTTTTGCCTCTTTTTGAGCGCGGCTGCTGCACACCCAGCCCACCAGTGATACGAGACGCACCGGATCCAACCCTGGCAGCGCTTGACCGCCACCCCGGTGACCGCCCACAGGTGGCTGACCGCATCTTCGCCCGTCTGGGACCTCTTCGTACGGCTCCAAAAACCGCTCCTTAACGACCGGGTACACGCACACGAGCCGCGGTCGTGTACCCGTCTTAGCGGCGAGGCGTGGGACCGTCTGTGGCGAAGTGGGTCGCGTCCCTGAATTTCCGTCAACTCACGGTCCTTCCCCCGTACGCGGGGCCAACCCTCGGAGACCCGTGTTTAATTTACGGCCCTTTCCCTGCGAACGCGCACCCCCCAGGGCTAGGGCTCTCTAGCCCGTAACCCGATGCCGTGCGAAGTCTGTGACAGCGACAGTCACCATCCCTATGTAGTATACGTGCACATTAACATCATTGTTAGGAAGGTGACACAGTGGAAACACAGTGAGGCTCGGACTGGACACCAGCGCGGTATGCTTGGGTGGACGAACGGGGCGCGGACGAATACACATCGTAAAATCCCGGTCGCGGCCTCGTCCACAACAGCATCAACAACAGCATTCGACATGAAGTTGGGAGCAGTCCAGAGCGAGACAAGGCAAGCCAGCTAGCGGAGCGAGGCCTAAGAGTCGACCTAAGACTCGCCTCTAGGAGGTCCTCAGAGCGGCTTCATCTCTGATCAGAGGTCCTCACTGTGCGTGTGGCCATCTGTCCTCTGTTCACATTTTATAAAAGGAGGCACGATCGATATGTGCTCCAGCCCTGCCTGACACGGCAAAGCTCTGCGGTGGTCCTATACCGTGGAGGCCAAAATTTGGGCCGAGCAAGCGAGCGCAGAGGCAGCAAAAGGTCCTCACCAAGTGCAAGAGGTCCTCACGCCACGATTTTCTAGGACACTCTGAAGGTGGGTAGTTCGAAGAGGCAGGCACGGGACCTACCGGCCTGCACGCCAGGTGCAAAAGGAAAGAGGCAGCCTGAGGCAGCTAGTTTGCAATTGACCGCCGGAGAGCTCAACTCTGTCTTACTTACCCAAAATTACGGTGCAAGTGTACCTCTCTCTCTCAAGTGTAGAGGGAAGTAAGTCATTGGTCATGCTTTCCCTTGTGCACCAACGTTCCCTTCGAGCTTTCCCTTGTGCACCATGTACACCAGCACGGTACTGAATACAGACACATTATTGTCCTACCTACCTACCTACTCGAGTACCAACCAGGAAGGAAGAGACGGTGGCGGTGGCTAGGGAGGAGGTGGCGGTGAGGGTGGAGGCGGAGATGGTGGAGGCGAAGACGGAGGCGGTGGCGAGGGCGGCGGCGAGGATGGCGGTGGAAAGGGCGGCGGCGAACTCCCGGCTCCCTCACCAGCCTAGACCAGGAACCCTGAACACGCGTGATAGCGGGCCGAGCAGCGAATCTGATTCCCGACGCGATGCCGACAGCCCACATCAGCGCGGGACGCGAAGAGCTATCCACCGTCCCGACGCTGCCGCCGCCGCCGCCGCCGCCGCCGTGCAGTGAAATCGCCGGCCGCACGGTGCTCACCGAGGGCGCCTGCAAAGACGTCCGCTATCCGGAGAACAACTGCAGCAACTTTTACTACCATACTGGGCCTCATATCAACACCGACAAAGACAAGTGGCGGCTGTGTGTGGCGCCGTCGGGGCTGGAGAAGGACGTGTGCGAGGGCGTTCTTCTCACGGGCTGCTGGCCACCGCCACCGCCGCCGCCGAAAGCTTGCCAGCTCGCCATCCCAGCGCGCGCCCAGACCCTCGATCCGGGTGGACGGCGGGATCACTGGCGCTCACTAGCGGAGCAGCACGGCATCCGCTCGCTGGTAGTCGAGCGGGCCGTTGGGCCGGCGGAGCTGTGGCAGTACGTGCCAGCAAGCGTGCTGCATTCGCTCAATGCCACCCTCGTGCCCAAAGCGCTCAAGCAGGCGCACAAAATGCTCGGCATCTGGGCCACCAATGTACGGTTCCTCGCTTCGGTCGCTGCCAGCAACGCAACGGCGATCTTCATCGAAGATGATGCCTCTCTCCAGCCGAGCTTCTGCGCTGGCACCACGGCCGCGCTGCGCCAACTGCGGTCGTCCAGTCCTTCGTGGGATCTCCTCCTTCTGGGACACTGCGGCGGCACTCGCGTCCGAACTTGCACGCGCATCCCTTCCCCTCAGCGGGGTGGAGAGGGCAGGGCACGGTGCCTCTGCCGTGGCGGCGCGTGTTGTCGGGCCCAACGGTGGCGCAGCCGGCCCCGCGCACAGCAGAGAGGCCGGCATGCACACCATGTAGGTTATCCGATGTGCACGCATGCCTACATTGCGAGCGCGTTCGGCGCGTCGCGGCTGCACGGTCTGCTCGCGGACTGGCCTCGCAGCTACGCTGAGGCGATTCTCCGCACCGCGCAGCCGGGCTGGGAGACTGCTGGCGTCGCGCCGAAGAGGCGACACTTCCACGACACTTCCTCACACTTCCACGACACCTCCACCACGACACCTCTAACTTCCGCAGCTACAATTCCATGGCAGATCGTTCTCGTGGGCAGGCGCGCGTCTCAGCAGCGCGTGGGTACTCTGATGGGGCTCCGCTCTCCTCTCCTCGCTGCTTCCTCGCCCGCGCAGAGCAGAGAAGCCCCACACCCGCCACACCGACCTGTGTGCTCTCATCACCCTGAGAGCCGCGCATCATTCTAGGCGGCACTCGAAGCGGCCTGTAGACATCGCGCACGACGTGCGCGTCGCGCAGCTCATCTACACGGGAAAGGTCGAGTGGCCAGCGCTGCCCCACCATTGGGTGTGTGTGTGTGAAGAAGTTTTACCTTACCTCACCTTATTCCTTAGGTCGACGCCCACGTGATGTGGCCGCAGGTGGCGCTGCAGCCGTGGATGATCGCGCCGAGGAGCAGGATCCAACGCGGCATTTCAGACATGAGGTTGCCACGCGCGTGCAGCTGAATGTCCCATGTCTGGTAGTCCAACATTTAAAGTCGCCGTAATAAACAAATAAAGAGAAGGATCTCCAGAAGAGATGGGCGACGCACGAACACAGAGGCACAGCGCGTAAGTCGACGTCTAAGAGCAAAAGAAGCGCCCGGAACATTTTTTCCCCTAACTCTCGGACGTCCCACCCCGGGAGCAATCGTCGTGCGCCAGCGCGCGGCCTTCGGGCGGGGGGCTGCGCCTCGCTGCCCCACCCCCCAGCGATGCCATCCGTCAAGTCGGCCGTGTCCGCCGCGATCGACGCCATCGGAGGCGTCTCCCGGATCGGCGAGGACCCCGATTCGCTCATCCTCTTCAACGCCGCCTTCAGTGTCTGCTCCGAGAAGTGCCGCACCGTCATCCGGGAGACGGGCTTCTCGCACACCAACGTCAACGTGGACCTGACCACGATGATCAACTACGATCCGAGGTACGTGGCGCTGAGGCTCATGGCGTGGGATCATGCGATGCCGCTCGCCGGAGAGATCGCCGGCTGGACGGGGAGCAGCTCGATGGCCAAGACTGGCTTTGACCCATGCGTGGTGCCGCTCCTCGTGGACATGAAAGCCAACGGAGGCGAGGGCATGGTCATCGTCGACTCGGCGGTGATCTGCAACTACCTCGTCAGGCTGGCTGGAGGTGCGCTCATGCCGACGGAGCCACACCAGCTTGCGCTCGTTCAAAAGCACATCGCGCTCGTCGATGACGCTCCTCACCCGGCGCTACTGTACGACGCGCTCCCCGCCAAAGACCTCCGCCCGGCCTACCTGAAGCATCTCACGGCTGGAGGCGGCCTCCACTTGCAGCAGATCCGCAAACTCAAGAATTATCTGGCGCAGGAGGGCAATGGGCTAGATTCCCATGTTTCACCACAAGCGCCAAACTGCTTCACCGCGCGCTGCTGACAGCGTCAAGTGCGGCCCTTAGCTGAGTATAGCACGAAGTGGGCGTCGAGGGGGCCTATAGTAGAGTGTGAGCCCGCGCGCTGCAAAGCTCGAGTGTGGGCGATGGCGCGAGCTGGGCCATGTACTAATTGCGTGTGACTGTTTCTGCCGTCTTTGAGGGGGCGTGGGCGTAGGAGTGGCGCTCTGCTACCCTTGCAGTCGAGCGCCTTCTCTCAGCTCCATTGCCTCTAGGAGAACAGCCAGGCTCGGACTGGACACCAACGCGGTATGGGTGGACGCTAGCCGGAATGATGACGACACGCACGAGCGACTCACAAGACACACAGCTAGCTGGCTGCCATCACCTCCCCTGCTCTCCAAGGAGAATATCCCCGCGCGATTTCTTTTTCTATCCCCAAGTTCCGCCGCGATTGAGCATTCTTGTCCCATGCAAACCGCTTCGAGGCCGACCGCTCCGAGGCCACCAGTACCAGTGCCAGTGAAGGTCAAACACGAGAACAAGGCAGCTACGACGGAGGGCACGGATCCTCTCGTCGCGGCCACCTCTGCGCCCGGCAAGTGCTGCTCGTCGGGCTGCGGCAAGTGCTGCTCGTGGGGCTGCGACGTGTGCTGCTTGTGGTCGTACGAGTGGGCGTGCCTTCTGCCTCGCTGGTTCTTCCGCGGCATTTTTCCGGGGGGTTGGTGGGTTGAAACGGGGGCGACACCGCCGCTCGACCCGCCTTCTTCGGCAACAAAGACTGCGATTGGCAATGGCCTATTCGTGCACATCGACTACGACAGCTGGAACGAGCACTTGTACGACGTCATCCCTGTCTGGGTCGAACTCCGGGGCCCGGTCACGGAGGCGCTCGAGATATCCATTTCCTTTGACGGCTCCGTCAACCTCTCGGTGGCAAAAGTAGTGGCAGGTCGCGGCTGGGAAACGGCGGCGGCGGCGCCCACGAGCGTTCCGGTCAAGACCATCGTCCAGCCCGGAACCACCGTCCCCTTCGCGCTCCTCATGCCGAATTCCAAGTTCCGACAGTGGGAGCTAAAGTGGGCTGCCCGTTGGCAGGGCGACTGGGTCAAGCCCACCGACCCGTGCGGCCCGGACTTAAAGTGCGCGGCGCTCGACCGGCGGGTGTGCGAGCTGGAAACGACGGTGCGCAGCATGCTGCGGGCGGAGGCGGCGTTACCAGCAGACGTTTTCGCTTTCGCGGAGGCGCAGCGTGCCGAGTAGTGCAGCTGTGGCATGAGTCGGTCGGAGGAAGGAGATGCGATCGCGGGCTGTGAGCGCGCATGCCGTCAATGAGAGCCCTTTTAGAGAGAGATTTTGTGCTGATTCTTTTGGTGTGTACCTGTGTTAGTGCCAGTGCGCGCCAGTCCCGTGCCTAGTGTGGTGTCTCGTGCGAGAAGTTGTAAAATTCTTTTTGAGCACGGAGCTCTCGCACCCGCATTGCCGTTTAGCCGTTAACGGAGTCGCTTAGGCGGCGCTCCGGTGGTGTGCCTGTGATAGTGCTAGCACGCGCCAGTTCGCACCTGTGTCGAGCCTGTCTCTGTAGAGTTGTTTTGTTTAAATTCTAATTTCTGTGCATAATAACTCCAAGAATCACAACAAGCCATGGCCCAGTCAAACACAAACTACAGCTAGCATATGAATGATCTAAATATGCTAGTTATCGTAACATCTAACAATCCCATGACCCATATGCTTTAGTCTCAAAAACGCGCCAAGCTAGGCGCTCAGCGGCCCATGATTCATGGACGCCCCAAGGGAGTCTGTGAGCGGCGCCCCCAAGCACAGGGTTGTCCTCGCACGCCCATTCCTCTTCCCCACCCATCAAGCACTCAAAGATGCTCGCGAGAGGTCCTCACGGGAGGTCCACACAAGAGGTCCTCACAAGAGGTCCTCTCAGAGGCATCGCGACGCGTTGACGTCCCCAAAAGAGCGCCTGTGGGACGGCCAACCGATGACAACTCGACAGGATGACTATGCCGAGAGGTGAGACTCCCCTTCCTCGCCTCTCTACGATTCGGAGGTCGACACAAGTGGATGAGCGTGATGTGCTTCCTGGTGGTAATTCATCTTTTTCATTTCGTGCTGTTCGCGCCGTTACCACCTTTACGCGGTGAGGACCTCTCGTGAGGACCTCCCGTGTGGTGAGGACCTCTCGCAAGCATCTTTGAATGCTTGGGCGGGGAAGAGGAAGGGATGTGCGAGAAAGCAACCTGCTTGTCCGCGTCGCCTCATGAACAAAAACACTCTCAATCCAAGTGCTCCAATCATGGGCCGCTGAGCGCCTATATAGGTCTCTTTCGCCTGCGAATTCGAGACACAACCAAGCAGGCGCTTATACAAAGAGAATGGGATTCGTAATGATTAGTTGAGTTGTATGTGTGCTTGCTCCGCCGGAAAGTGTGCAGGAAGTTTTCTTCTTTGTCTGAAATTCTTTTTAAGGTCTTCTCTTCTTTGCCTTGAGCGCGCGCGCGGCCGGGTCTTTGAGCCCCCCCCCCCCGCCCGACGATTTCTTTTCCTTGTTCTTTTCGCTTCTTGCGCTCTATGTTCTTTTTCCCGTGCCGTCAATCCCGTGCGTGTCGTGCGAGGGAGTTGGTGACGAGAATTCTTTTTTGTGCGCCTCTCGCTATACCCAGAGACGACGCCGCGATTGAGCTTGCTTGCCGTCATGCAAACCGCGTCCTCGAGGCCGACGGCGCCGAGGCCGCCGGTGAAGACGATCAAGGACGAGAACAATCTCCTCGCGACTGCCTCCAACAAGTGCTTCGCGTGGGCGTGGGCAGCCGGGCCAACGGCGACGACAGACGCAATGGCGACGGAAACGGCCAATCTCGTCGCGAATGTCTCATCAGAGCCCGGCAAGTGCTGCTCGTTGGGCTGCGACGTCTGCTGCTCGTTGGGCTGCGGCAAGTGCTGCTCGTTGGGTTGCGGCAAATGCTGCACGCGGTCCTTCTCGTGGGCATGCTGTCTGCCTCGTTGGTACTGCTCGTACGCGTACAGGTGGTTTTGGTCTTGCCGTGGGAAGTGGCCGGGCACCGGCACTGATGCCGATGCCACTCCGCCGCTGCTCCCTCCTTCTTCTGCAGAGAAGACCGCGATTGGCGATGGCCTATTCGTGTTCGTCGACTACGACATCTGGAATGACCACGTGTACGACGGCATCCCTGTCTGGGTAGAGGTGCCAGCCACGCCTGTCGAGGTAGCCATTTCCTTTGACGGCTCCGTCAACCTCTCGGTGGCAGGGGCAGGGCGCGGCTGGGACACGGCGGCGGCGGCGGCCACGGCAGTCGAGACCCTCGTCGAGCCCGGAGGTCCCGTCCCCTTCGCGCTCCTCATGCCGGTAGCCAAGAACCGACTGTGGAAGCTGAAGTGGGTTGCCCGATGGCACTTCGTGATCCCGCCGCCGCCGGATCCGTGCCCGCCGGAGCCGTGCGCCGACCTCAAGTGTGCGGCGCTCGACCTGCGGGTGTGCGAGCTGGAGACGACGGTGCGCACCATGCAGCGGGCGGAGCTGCGCCCAGAAGACGTCTTCACTTTCGCGGAGGAGCAGCGCGCGCGCGTGGAGCTCTAGAGTGGAGTGGGTGCCCCGTTCTTGTTTCTTTTCACGCTTCTTGTAAAATTCTTATCTCGGCTTCTGTGATGAGGACGACGGCTTCTGGAAGCCGTCGTCTGCGCCTTGCCTGTGGTGCGTGTAAGCAAGAAAGAACGAGAACAGGACCCAAGGGAGGGATGAGAAGACGGCACGCCGCCACCACAATTTTATTTTTTTTCGAGCGGACGACGAATGCAGGCTACGTACCCGCCTTCGGCGACGTCCGCGTCGTCGCTCCTGCTGCTCGCATCCGACGAGGGCCCTTCCACCCGCCGCCGCGCCGCGCGTGAGCTCTGCCATCGCGTCGGATCCACGCCGGCGGCGCGTGCGGCGCTGCTCGAGCACCTCGGTGACGGTGGCGAGGAGGAGGAGGAGAGCGATGAGAGGCTGGCGGGCCCTCCGCTCGTGCTCGATCCGGACTATCGAGCGGCTGCTGTTGAGACGCCGCTGCTTGCGGCGCCGGCGTGGGGCTCGGGAGCGCTCGTCGAGACCGAGCACGCACGGCGCTGCCTCCGGCTCCTCTCGCTCTCTCTTGAGCTGCGGAGGCCGGTGCTGCTCTCCGGACCGCCGGGCGCCGGGAAGAGCACGCTGCTCTCCGCCTTGGCGCTCGCCGCGGGCCAGCACGACAAGATGGTGACCGTCCACCTCGACGAGCAGGTCGACTCCCGCTCGCTGCTCGGCGCGTACGTGTGCGGCTCGACGCCCGGTGAGTTTGTGTGGCAGCCGGGTGTGGTGGCGCAGGCGGCGGTGCACGGGCGCTGGCTGCTGCTCGAGGACGTGGACCGCGCGCCGCTCGAGGTCATGTCCGCCCTCGCACCCCTCCTCGAGCGCGGCGTCCTTTTCGTCCCCGGGCGCGGCACGTCGCACAGCGCCGCGCAGGGCTTTCGCCTGTTTGGCACAGTCACCAGCACCGTCGGGACGGGCGGCGGAGGAGGCGGCGCGGCGGCGGCGCGGGCGGCGGAGCGGGCGGTCTGGCAGCCCGACCTCTGGCAGCACGTCCACATCCCCTCGCCGCCCGCCTCCGACCTCGAGGCCTACCACACCACCCAACGGGGCTGAACCCACACTGGGTTCGACACGCTTGGAGGTATGGTACTAGGCGGTAGTCTGTGCGTCGCACCGCCGGCTGCGCGCCGCGGCGCCGCGGCTCGTCCGCTGCTTCCTGCAGCTGCAGGCCGCCTCGGGAGGGGAGGCGGTGGCGGCGGCGGGGGAGGCGGGACCGGGAGGCGGGGGTTGGACGCAGGTCTCCCCACCCGCCGCCCCGCCCCTTGCCTCCGCCACCGCGCCGTCGGGCGAGGGAGCTTCGCTGGCGGAGGCGGCCGAGGCGGAGCTGGCGTCGGCGCGGCTGTCGCTGAGCGGCGGCCGCGCCTTCTCGTCGCGAGAGCTGTTTCGGTGGTGCGCGCGGATGGAGGCGGCGCTCGCCGCATGCGGCGCCGAGCTTCCCCCGCCGCAGGAGGAGGGTCGGCTGACCTCCTTCTTCCGCGAGCTGGTCGTCACCGAGGCGCGCCTCTGTCGCGGTGTAGTCGAGATCTAGTCGAGATGCAGGCGAGATGCAGTCGAGATCGTGACGCCCTCTGTGAGCCTGCCGGAGATATGGGGAGATGTGGGGAGATGTGGGGAGATGTGGGGAGATGTGGAGAGATCGGCGCCCTCTGTGAGCCTGCCGGAGCACTCCTCGTCACAGGCGCTCGACACGTTTGCTTCCCCTGTCCGACGCGACGCGCCGCGCCAGAAGCTCGCCGCGCTTATCGCCGCCCAATGGTCCCTCCCCGCTCCGCAGCTCCGCCACCTGGTCCAGCTGCGCAGGCCCGAGCTCAGCCTTTCCGACGGCGTCCTCGCCATCGGTCGCGCCCGCCTGCCGCTGCCCCAGCCGACTGCGGCGGCCGAGGCGGCGGTGGCGGGCGCGGGCGGCGGCTTCGCGGCGACACGCCACGCCCTCGTCACGCTAGAGCGGGTCGCTGCTAGCGTGGCGCTCGGCGAGCCGCTGCTTCTGGTCGGCGAGACGGGGACCGGCAAGACGACCGTCGTGCAGCAGCTCGCGTCGATGCTCGGCCAGAAGCTGCTGGTGCACAACCTCTCGCAACAGAGCGACGCGTCGGAGCTGGTTGGGGGGTACCGGCCCGTGCAGCCGCGCCACGTGTACGCGCCCTTCGCCGCGCGCTTCGAGGACCTCTTCTGCCGCACCTTTTCGCGCTCCAAGAACGGGCCCTTCCTCTCCAAGCTGGCGCAGCGGCTCGCCAAGGGCGAGTGGGCGAGGCTGGTGGCGATGGCGGTTGGAGCCTGCAACTCTCACGCGGCGGCGCGGGCCAAGGAGCGCTGCGTAGAGCCTTCCAGCGGCGGCGGCGGCGGCGGAGGAGGAGGAGGAGGAGGAGGAGGAGGAGGCGGAGGAGGCGGAGGAGGCGGCGGAGGAGGAGGAGGAGGCGGCGGCGGCGGCGCGGGCGCGGCCTTGGACGAGGAGTGGGAGAGCTTTGCGGCAGAGGCTGGCCGTCTCCGACACCAGCTGCGGCGCGAGGCGCAGGGCGGCGTCGACATGTCCGGGACACGTCCACGACACGTCCGAGAAGTGTCGCGTAGGCGCGAGGCGCAGGGCGGCGTCGGCGGCGCCGCGTTTGCGTTCGTCGAGGGCGCGCTGGTTCAGGCCGTCCGCGAGGGGCATTGGCTGCTGCTGGACGAGGTTAACCTAGCGGCACCGGAGACGCTGCAGCGCGTCGCGGGCTTGCTCGAGGCGGGCGGCTCGCTCGCCCTCACCGAGAAGGGCGAGGCCGACGCTGTACCGCGCCACCCAAACTTCCGCCTCTTCGCCGCGATGAACCCACCGACCGACTTTGGCAAGAAGGAGCTGCCCGCCGGCATCCGCTCGCGGCTGACCGAGCTATACGTGCCACGCCTTTCCTCGCCCGAGGTGAGACTAATAAGACCGCGCCAGAGTGACAGTGATGAGAGTAGCAATGAGAACCGCCATAATGAGAGCCCTAGTCTCAATCGCAATCATCACCGCAACCCCTCTCATCGCCAGGACCTGTCGCTGATCGTGATTGCCTACCTCGGCCCGCTGCTGCCCTCGCCTCCCGTCGGCCCAATCGTCGCCTTCTACCAAGCCGCCCTCGACGCAGCCGCCACAACGCTGCTCGACGGCGCCGACCAGCGGCCAGAGTACTCCCTGCGCACCCTCTGCCGCGCGCTGAGCTACGTGCGCGCCGCCGTGCCGCTCGGGTACGGCTTGCACCGCTGCTTGTACGACGGGTTCCACATCACCTTCGTCGCGCAGCTGCAGGCGCGCTTCCAGCCGCAGGTCGAGGCGCTGCTACTTCGCCATCTGATGCCTCCGAAGCCAAACAAGCCGCCCCGCCCGCCGCCAGCGAGGGCGCCTGCCCGGCCTTCGGGCGACGGCTGGGTCGAGATCGGCGGCTTCTGGCTGCAGACGGACCCTCGGCACACCGCGTCGGCCGAGGACCCGCGCTTCATCGTCACCCCCTCGATCGAGGCGCGCTTCCGCCAGCTAGCGCGCATGGTGGCGGCGGGCCGGTACCCGGTCCTGCTGCAGGGGCCGACCTCGGCCGGAAAGACGTCCGTGATCGAGCGGCTCGCCGCGGCGACGGGGCACGTCCTGCTGCGAATCAACAACCACGAGCACACCGACGTGCAAGAGTATGTCGGCGCCTTTGCGCCCGACGAGCACGGCAAGCTCGCCTTTCCGCCGTACCTCCGCATACGCATATCTCCCCACATCTCCCCCGCATCCCACAGGTAAGCTTGTCTTCCGCGACGGCGCGCTCACCACGGCAGTGCGGCACGGCCACTGGGTCGTGCTCGACGAGCTCAACCTGGCGCAATCGGAGGTTCTGGAGGCGCTGAACCGGCTGCTCGACGACAACCGCGAGCTGCACATCCCCGAGACGGGCGAGACGCTCACACCGCACGCGCACTTCATGCTCTTCGCGACGCAGAACCCGCCCGGCGCCTACGGAGGCCGGAAGGTCCTCTCGCGCGCGTTCCGCAACCGGTCCGCGCAAACCGTCGCACGCACATTGCCCCTCGTAGAGCATTGAGCCTCGCTCTGCTCGCTCATTCTCTGTCACTGCCCATGCACTCGGGGCGCAGCGGGCCCTCTGCCCTCTCTCTCTCTCTCCATCCTGCTGTGGCGAGGGTGTCTGCTCCACTCCTCCACCTGGCCTTCAGGTTCCTCGAGATGCAGACCGATGAGATCCCCATATCTCCCCATATCTCCCCATATCTCCCTCCAGGTTCCTCGAGATGCAGACCGATGAGATCCCCACATCTCCCCATATCTCCCCATATCTCCCTCCAGGTTCCTCGAGATGCAGACCGACGAGATCCCCATATCTCCCCATATCTCCCCATATCTCCCTCCAGGTTCCTCGAGATGCAGACCGACGAGATCCCCACATCTCCCCATATCTCCCCATATCTCCCTCCAGGTTCCTCGAGATGCAGACCGACGAGATCCCTGCGGGCGAGTTGACGACCATCCTCGAGCGGCGGTGCGCCATCTGCACCATACCTCCCGGGTGCTCGAATCCAGTGCGGGTTCACTGCAATGGGTGGTGCGGTAGGTGCGCCATCCCCGCCTCCTTCGCCGCAAAGATGGTATCGGTGATGGGCGAGCTGCAGCGGCGCCGTTCGTCGTCGCGCGTCTTTGCGGGCAAGGCAGACGAGCCGCTCACCGCACCACCCACGGGGCTGAACCCACACTGGATTCGATACCCTGGAGGTATGGTACTAGGCGGGCTTCATCACGCCGCGCGACCTCTTTCGCTGGGCCGAGCGGCGGCCGGGCACGTACCAGGAGCTGGCCGAGGCGGGCTACGCGTTGCTCGCCGAGCGGCTCCGCTCGACGCCCGAGCGGGAGGTGTGCACCTCCCTCTCATCTCCGCCCCCTCCACCCCCTTCCCCTCCTGCCCCCCCCCCCCCAGGTGGTGGCGCAGGTGCTCTGCTCGCTCCTCCCGCGCGTGCAGCTCTGCGCCGAGACACTCTACGAGCGGCTGCTTTGCGGCGCGCCAGGTGGCCCGCCGACCGCCGGGCCGCACGAAGGCGGTACGGTCTGGCTGCCGTCGACCCGCCGGCTCTACGCACTCGTCGCCGCTTGCATGGCCTCCTCCGAGCCGGTCCTGCTCGTCGGGGACACGGGGACGGGCAAGACGACCGTCTGCCAGCTGTATGCGCAGGCGGCGGCGCAGGCCCTCCACATCATCAACTGCCACCAGCACACCGAGGCGGCAGACTTTGTGGGCGGGCTGCGGCCGACGCGCGGCCGCACTCTGCAGCTCGCGGCGCTTCGGGGGCGGGTCGCGGCGCTCGAGGCGGAGGCGGCTTCCGCGCGCGCGGCCAGGGCGAGCGGGCCCGGCGCGCCGGCGGACGGCGGCGCGGGGAGGGAGGGTGGCTCAGGCGCCGCGCCGATGGATTGTGATTGCGCGCCGGAGGAGGAGGACGAGGCGGCGCTCGCGGGCAGACTCGGCGAGCGCGCCGAGGAGTGCCGCGCCCTCCTGGCCGCTGCCCTCGCGCCGCCGGCCGAGGGCGCCGGCGCGACGGAGGCTGCTGCGGCGAGGCTGCGGGCTGCGCTACACGAGGCCGAAGCGCTGGCCGACGAGCTGCGCGCGGCGGCCGCGCTGTTTGTGTGGGTTGACGGGCCTCTCGTGACGGCGATGCGCCGCGGCGACCTCCTCCTCATCGACGAGATCTCGCTGGCCGAGGATGCGGTGCGCGATCCGCACCATACCTCCAGGGTTCTCAAATCCAGTGCGGGTTCAGTCCGGTGGGTGGTGCGGTAGGTGCTCGAGAGGCTCAACTCGGTGCTGGACCTGAGCCGCACTCTGACAGTGCCGGAGAAGGGCGAGCGGCAGCTCGAGACGATCGTCGCGCACCCATCCTTCCGGCTCCTCGCCACCATGAACCCCGGTGGTGACTTTGGGAAGAAGGAGCTCTCGCCGGCGCTGCGCAACCGCTTCACCGAGGTGTGGGTGCCTGCGGTCACCGCGCGCGAGGAGCTGCTCTCGCTGCTCTCGCGGACGCTCAGCGCGGCCGACGCGCCGATGGAGGAGGCGGACGCCACCGCCGCCTGGGACGCGGGCGACGCGGCGGAGGCGATGCTCCTCTTTGTCGAGTGGCTGGGGGAGCGGCGCGGCCGCCGCCCAAGCAGCGGGGGGCCGTCCTTGCGCGACCTGCTGGCGTGGGCGTCTGGCTTGCGGGCCATCTCTCCCCATCTCTCCCCAGATCTCCCCATATCTCCGCACAGGCGTGGGCCGGCTTCGTGCGCGAGACGCAGCCGCGGCTCGGCTGGCCGGCCGCCTACGTGCACGGCGCCTGCCTCACCTTCGTCGACGCGATGGGGCTGCAGGTCCCCTCCTCGCGCAATGAGAGCAGTAGTGGCAGGAGGAGAAGAAGTGGTAGTAGTAGTAGTAGTAGTGGTAGCATAGTAGTAACACTCGCCGCAGGTCCCCGCCTCGCGCAATGAGAAAGAGGATGACGGTGGTGAGAGTAGCAATACTAGCGACAGAATCACAATCAGCATGTCGCCGCAGGTCTCCTCCTCCCGCGCCGAGAGGGAGGCGCTCCGCGCCGCGTCCGTGTCGAAGCTCATCTCCCTCCTCCCCACTCACGAGCAGCGCCGCGCCGATCTGTACGTCGGCACCGACACCTTCCCCGCCTTCGCGGCCGGCGCGGCGCCGTCGCCCACAGCCTCGCCCAACGGCGGCACGACGCAGTTCGGGCTCGACCCGTTCTTCGTGCCTCTCGGGGGCGGCGCGCCCTGCGCGGGCGGCTTCTCGCTGGCCACGCCGACCCCGCGCGCCAACGCCTTCCGCGTGCTGCGGGCGATGCAGCTGCGCAAGCCCGTCCTTCTCGAGGGCTCGCCTGGCGTCGGCAAGACCTCGCTGGTGCAGGCGCTCGGCGCGGCGTGCGGTCACGCCGTCGTGCGCATCAACCTGTCGGAGCAGACGGACCTGATGGACTTGCTCGGCTCGGACTTGCCGGTCGAGGGCGCGCCGCCGGGGACGTACGCCTGGCAAGACGGGCCATTCCTGGCCGCGCTGCGGTCCGGGCACTGGGCCATCCTCGACGCGCGCATGCGGGGACGCGTCCGGGACACGTCCGCGACACGTCCGAGACGGGTGCGGTAGGTGATCCTCGACGAGCTCAACCTCGCCCCCCAGGCCGTGCTCGAGGGGCTAAACTCGTGCCTCGACCACCGCGCGACCGTCTACGTGCCCCGAGCTCTCGCCGCCTCCGTCGAGTGCCCGCCCGGGAACGGCGTCTCTTCACACCTCTGGTCTGTGAACAGGTGCCCGAGCTCGCCGCCTCCTTCGAGTGCCCGCCCTCGTTCCGCGTGTTTGGATGCCAGAACCCGCTGCAGCAGGGCGGCGGCCGCAAGGGGCTGCCAAAATCGTTCCTCAACCGCTTCACGCAGGTGGCGACCCTCCCTTCCCTCCAAGGGTATCGAACCCAGTGCGGGTTCAGTCCTGTGGGTGATGTGGTAGCACGCGTGCGGTGTGGGCACGTGTCCCATACCTCCAAGGGTATCGAACCCAGTGAGGGTTCAGTCCCTTCGGTGGTGCGGTAGGTGTGGATGGAGGAACTCGACACGGCGGACATGCGCGCCATCGCCGGCTCGCTCTTCGCCGCGCTGGGCGCGCCCCTCCTCGAGCAGCTCGTCGGCTTCGTGCGCGCGCTGCAGGCGGCGCTCGCGAGGCGCGAGTTTGGCGCCGCGGGGGGGCCGTGGGACTTCAACTTGCGCGACGTGTTCCGCTGGTGCGAGCTGATGCTCGCCGAGCAGGCGCCAGCGGTAGCACCTGCTTCTCACAACGACCACTCTTCTTATTGTTAATGCTCGCTGACCAGCCACCGCTAGCTAGTCGGCGGTGAACTGACTAATGCTCGCCGAGCAGGCGCCTCGAGGTCACCCGAGGTTACCCGAGATTACCCGAGATTACCCGAGATTAGGCGCCGCCGCACTGGCGGCCCGGCGCCTTCCTCGACGCGCTCTTCCTGCAGCGCTTCCGCTCGGAGTCCGACCGCAAGGCGGCGCTCCGCCTCTATCGCGAGTCGATGGGCGGCTGCGACGCCGCTCAGCTGCCGCCGCTGCAGCCGCACTTCGCTGTCTCCTCGCGGTGGGTTCAGGTGGGCTGCGCGTGGCTGCCGCGCGCCGCGGCGCAGCTGCCGCCGCCGCCGCCGCTGCAGCTTCTGCACGGCATGCTGAGGCCGCTTCAGGCGCTGATCCTCGGCGTGCGGATGGGCTGGATGTGCGTGGTCAGCGGCGAGGGCGGGGCGGGCAAGTCGTCCTCGCTGCGCCTGCTCGCGCAGCTGTCGGGAGCGCGGCTCGAGGAGACGGTTCTCTCCACGGCGACCGACACCACCGAGCTGCTTGGCTGCTTCGAGCAGACCGAGCTCTCGCGGCTTCAGCTCGAGACGCTGCAGGAGGCGGACGAGCTGGGCCGCAGCCTGATCAGCCAACTGGCCGTGGTCGGTGTCTCGGAAGTGTCTCGGAAGTGTCTCGGAAGTGTCTCGGACACCCAACTGGCCGCGGTCGGAGCCGCCGCGGGCAACAAGGCGTCGGGCGTCGCGCCGCTTGAGCTGGCAGCGGCGCTGCAGGGCGCGCTCGAGACGCTCGCCGCTGACGGCGCCGAGGAGCGTGCCGTGGGGGGGCCTTCACCGCCAGCCGAGTGGAATGAGGCCTTTGAGAGGCGCGCCGTCGAGGCGACCAGCCTGCTGGACTCGGCCGTGGACTGCCTGCGCCGCTCGGCGGGGGCGGCGGCGGGCGATAGCGGCGGCGCGGCGGCGGCGCGCGTGAGCGCCCTGCGCTCGCGCAACGCGGCGATGGCGTCCTTGCGCGAGAGCGGCGGCAAGGGCCGGTTCACGTGGGTTGACGGGCCGCTGGTTCGAGCAATGGAGGGCGGCCACTGGCTGGTCCTCGACAATGCAAACTTGGCAAACCCGTCGGTGCTCGACCGGCTCAACCCGCTCTTCGAGCGCGGCGGCCGGCTGCTGCTGCCCGAGTGCGGCCTCAAGGCGGGCGGGGTCGTCCGCGAGGTGGCGCCGCGCCCCGGCTTCCGCCTCTTCCTTTGCGTCAGCCCTGCCGCCGGCGAGCTCTCGCGAGCGATGCGTAACCGCGGCTTGGAGGTGACGCTGCTGCCGCCGCCCGCCGCCGGGCGCGACGTGCTCTCCATGCTGCGCACCGAGGGGCGCGGCACGCTCGCGGCACGCTCTCTCGACGCGGGGGGCGTGCCCGGGACGGCGGACATGTCTCGGACATGTCGCGGACGCCTCCCAGACGAGGGGGGCGTGCCAGGGGCGGAGCTCTGTCTCGAGCTGCTGGCGGCGCACGCCCAGGCGGGGGCGGCGCGGCCGCGAGCGCTGCTGCACTGCGGCGAGGTGCTCGTGTCGAGGCTGGCGAGCGGGCTCTCCCTGAGGTCAGCACTCACAGACGCGACTGACCTCGCGTACGCCGGCCGCGGGCTGCCGGACGGCGCGCGCGCGGTGGCAGGAGCGGCGCTGGCTCGGTGCGACCCGGCGCTTCTCGAGGGCGGCGGAGCCGGGCTCGCGCTCCTCGGCGCCCTTCGCCTCGACCGCGCGTCCTCCCCCGCCCGTCCAGCGTGGCCGGTTGGCGTATCGAGCGCTGGGTTTGCGGACGAGCCAGAGGCGTGCACCGTTCGGGGGCAAGCCGCACTCGCCGTCCAGCTCGCTGCGTTGGTTCGCGCCGGCGTCGGGTGTCGCCGCGAGGGTTTCGAGTGCCGGCCGGCGGAGCTGCTGCGGCCCGCGCTGCTCGAGTTTGTTCTCCGCGCGAGCGAGCGCGACGCGCGGCGGCGGCGGGCGCTGCTGGTCGGGCTGGCGGAGCGGGCGGGCGCAGAGGCGGAGGACGAGCTTCCCCTCGCCGTGGCGCTGCTCGACGGGCTCCGCTCCTCGCCGCTGGCTCGGGCGGCGGGGTGCGCGCTCCGCGAGGCGTGCGCTGCCAGCGCGCCGCTCCTCCTTGACTTGTGCTCCGATTCGCCTTGCGACCTGCAGCGCTTCAACCCGCCCCTCTTTGATCTCGTCCGCCGGCACGCCGCGCCGCACGCAGCGCCCGACGCGGCCGAGGAGGAGGCGGCGGCCGAGGGCGAGGGGAGAGCCGAGGCGGCTCGAGGGACGGCGTCGGAGGCCGCGGCGAGCCCCAGCGCCTCGTCAGAGCCGGCGGACTCCCCTTGCGCGGAAGCGTGGCGGCGGTACGTCGCGCTGCTCCCGCCGCTGCGCCTGGCGTGTGAGCTCGAGTGGGGAGGGTTGCTCGACACGGCGCGGCTCGCAAGGGCGGCGGAGTGCGTTGCGCCGAGCGAGCTCTCGCTGCTCCAGCTCTCTTACGCGCGCCGCGCCGCCGGAGCGCCGGCCGAGGCCGGGCGCCGCTCGCTGACCGAGGGCAGGGCGGCGTGGGAGGCGCTGGCAGGGACGATCTACCCGGCTCTCGCAGCCATCGGAGACGCGCTCGCCGGCTGGCTCGCGGCGCCCGGCTGCTGCGCCGCGGAGGGCGGACGGCCGCTGCTTGGGCGCCCCTCGGCGCGCGAGGCTGAGCCGCCGCGCGTGGCGGCGGTGCGGGCCGTCGCGCACGCGCGCCGCGCCCTGTGGACCCGCGCAGAGGCGTGCTACCCGTCCGACTCTGTCGCCCAAGACGTGCTCCTACTGTGGCGACCGCTGCTCAAGCGCCTTCGCCGCGCCGCCGCGCCGCCGCTCGCCCTGCCTCTGCCCAGCGCGGCGTCGGCCGCGTGCGACGCGCTCAGCGCAGCGGTCGGCTACGAGTCCTCGCGGCTGGCGCCGCTGCTTTGGAAGCGCGGAGGCCACCCGCAAGCGGCGCCGTCGGCCGCGCTGCTGGCGGCGTACACGCAGCTGCTCGAGGTGGCGGCGTCGGGGGAGGGAGGCGACGAGGCTCTGCAGGCCGGCAGCGCCGGCGAGGCCAGTGGCGCCGGCTCGGCCGCCGCGCCCCTGCGCCGCGCTCTCCTCGTGGGCGCGGCGACCCTGCGCTGCAGCTTCAGCGCCACTCCCTCGACGGCGGCGGAGGAGAGGCGGCTCGTCGAGATCCCGAGCGCCGTGCGCGCCACGCTGCAAGCGGGCCGCCTCGCGCCGGAGCGGGGCGGAGGCCGCCTCGCGCCGCTGGTCGATGCGCGCAGCGCGCGGCACGAGGCCGACCTCCTGGCGCGCCTTGCTAGCCTCTCGTGGCGGCAACAGTCCGAGGGAGACAAGACAGCCGACGGAGTCGAGGCGGCCGGCGCGCCCTCCAGCGCCACCCGTGCGGAGGCCGCCGAGGTCGCGGCGCTCGCCGCCTCCCTTGTCGACCTCGTCGCCGACCATTGCGGCCGGAGCGCGCTCGACGCGGCGCCGGCCCAGTCGTTGCTCTGGCGGCTGCAGGCGCCGCCGACTGCCGAGGCTGGCCGCGCCCCGCCTCTGGGCGGCATCGCGCAGCAGGTGGCGCTGGCGTGGCACCGCCACTTGTGGACCGGCGCTGTTTGGCCGGCCGCGCCCGCCGCCGCGCCCGCCGCCGCGTCGCCTCACCTCTTAGGCGGGGGTCCCTCCCTCCTCCTCCTCTCCACCGACGCCGCGCCGGTCGCCTCCTTGCTGCGGGCCGCGCGAGACGCCCCGATGGTGCGCCGGCGGAGCGTCGAGGGGGACGGAAGGTACCCGAGGTGACCCGAGGTGACCCGAGGCTACCTGCGATTAGGCGGGCCGCCGGAGGGTCGAGGGCGAGCTGCTCTCTTTGTGCAGCAACGTGCTGCTGCCGGCGGCGTCGCGCCGCGGCGGCGCCGCGTCGGGCGCAGCGCTCGATAGGCGCCTCGCGTTGCACTGTCTCAGCCAGACTTTGCATGTCTTTCACCACGCGCTCGGCAGCGACGGAGCGGCGCAGCTGCAGGCGGGAAAGGGGAGGGGGGAGGGGGGGGATTGCCCCCGAGATTTGCCCGAGATGACCCGAGGCTGGCCCCGCGGCAGGCGGTCTTGCGCACGCTCGAGCAGAGCTGCGGCCCTGTGCTCTCCCGCGCCGGGGGCGGCGGCGGCGGCGGCTCTGCCTCACTCACGCCGGAGGCGCGCGGCGCGCTTGGCTCGCTGCTGGGCGCGCTGTACTCGACTCTGGAGCGCTGCGACGAGGCGCCGCTGCGGTCGTGCCTCGAAACCCTCGTCAAGCCGTGCTTGCTCGCGCTGCACGGGGCGGTCGACGCGATGGCCGCCGCGCTGCAAGCCGGCGGGCCGGTCCCGCCGCGCCACTCTTCGCGCGGCCGACTGTGGGTCCACCTCGGGCTCCTGCGCTGGCGGCTGCTCCTCCCGCCCCACCCGGTGGACCCGGCCGCTAAGCACCTCCTCAGGGCGCAGCTCGGCCGCGCGGAGCTGCGCGAGGCGCGGCTGAGCCGCCTTGCCGCGGCGCTCGCGCAAGAGGCGCGCAACGGCGCCACGTGCACGCCTCGCAGTGCGCGGCTAGTCGAGGCCGAGCGAACGGTCGCCGACGCCGTCGACGCGGCGGCGCTGCGCGCGAGCGCTCGGCCGGCGGCGCCGCGGCCGCAGTTTGCGCAGCTGCACGCCGAGCTGCGGTCGTGGGAGGAGTCTCTCGGCGAGCCTGCCTCCACGCTCCGCCTGTCTGCGGACCTGGAGGCGGGCGGCACGGCGGCGGCGCTCGCCAGGGAGGAGGCGTGGCAGCAGGCGGGCGGCTCGCCCGCTCCCCTCTCTCCGCCCCTCGCTCTCGTGCCCCCGGCACAGCCGCGCCACCGTGCCCCCCACACCCCGCCCTCCCTCCCGCCGCCTCCATCTCCCGCCCTCCACCCTCCCTCCTCGCTCCCTTCCCTTCCGTCGCCCTGCCTCCTCGCGCCCCTCCCACCCTCCGCCCTCCCTCGCCTTCTCCCCCCCAGGGGTCCGCCACCTTTCTGCGGCGGCTCGAGATCGCGTACGTCGGCTTCGAGGACGTGGTCTGCCCGCTCCAGCTGGCGCTCTACGAGGTCAAGCACGGCCTTCGGCTGCAGGCGATGGCGGCGTCCCCCACGGTGGTGGCAGCGCAGGACGGCACCGCCGCCACCGACGTCGCGCGGCACGCGTACGCGCTGGTCACCTCGCTGCTGCGCTTCCCCGCCGCCGACCGCGACGGCCCCGACGGGCGGCTGCCGCGGCTGGAGCCGCTGCTGCTACCGCTCCCCTCGTGCGTGGGCGCGCAGCCCGCTCCCGCCCACGCCCCCTCGGCCGGCGGGGGCGGCAAGAGGGCCGCGCCGCCCAGCGAGCCCCAATCGCGCGGCAGCCGGCTCTCCACCCACACGGCGATGCTCGTGCTCGCCTTGCGGCGGCTGTACGTCGACGTGCTCGTCGACGGCCGCGCGGGCGGCGGCCACTTGCGCGCCGTCAACCGCATCGTCGGGTCGCTGGTCAAGGCGCACGTCGAGGCGGAGGAGGCGGAGGCCCCCCCCCCCGCCGGGGCGTGGGAGTTTTTCCGAAAAAAGGCCCGGGGGCCCCCCTTCCCCCCCCTCCCTCCCTCCCCTCCCTCCCTCCCCTCCCCTTCCCCGTGGCCCGCTGACCCCCCCCCCCCCCCGACCCTCCCCCTGGGCCTCGCCCTCCCCCCTCTCTGCTTGCCAACCCCCCCTCCTCCTCGCCGCCCCATCCAACACGTCTATACCCCCCCCTTTTCTAGGCGCGCGAGCACGGCGCGGCCGCCACCGACGGGCAGGCGGAGGAGGCGGCCGCGCTGCGCGCGCTCTTCCCCGACTTTCGCGACGCCTTTGCCGATCTCGAGGCGGCGGCGGCGGAGCGGGACGGCGGCGGCCTGCCCATGGACGTGGACGACGACACTGAGGAGGGCGGCACGGAGGAGGAGGTCGAGGAGGCCGCGACGCCGGCCCCGGGCGGCGATCAGGCCGCCGAGGCCGGCACGGCCGCCGCGGGCGGGCTGCAGGTGGATGCCGCCCTCATCCTGCGCGCGCTCGCCTACCACGAGCGCATCTACAGCCTTGCGGCCGAGGGCGGCGGCCCGCCCTCGCCGGGCGCGCCGCGGCTGCGGCGGCCCTCTTGCAGCATGGCTGGCCTCACCGTGTTCGAGGAGGCGGAGGGCGAGGCGCTCGGCGCGCTGCGAGAGGCGCACTCGCTGGCGGCGGCCAGGCTGCTGCCGGACCTCACCGCCGCGAGGCGTGCTCACCGCGGGAAGGGGGGGGGGGGGGGGCTGCGGAGCCTCGCAGCGGGTCCCCGTGACATGGAGGGCCAACCCACCTAGGCTGCTGCCGAGCGCCGTCGACGACGAGACGCGCGCGGCGAGTCTCGCGGTCGCGGCTAATTAACGATTAATTAACTATTAATTAACGATGAATTAGGCGCGCGGCGAGCCTCGCGGTCGCGGCGGGCTGTGTGCAGAGGCTGCGCGGCGGTCGCGCGCCCACCTCGCACGGCGGCTTGCGCGCGGAGGCCGACGCGCCGCGTGACGTGTTTGGCGGAGAGAGCTTGGCCGAGACGACGCGGCTGGAGCCGCTCGTGCGGTCCCTGGTCGACCGCACGGCGGCGCTGCTGGAGGCGTGGCCGGGGCACCCCGCCCTCGTCGCGATCTCGACGCTGTGTGAGCGGCTGCACTCGTTCCGCGCGGACTCGCCGCTGATGCAGTTCCTCACCGGCTGCGAGCTGCTGCTCAAGCGCTGCTGGGAGTGGGAGGGGGTCGCGTGCCGCGAGACGTCGATCAAGCCGCAGATCGACGCCCTCGCCGCCCTCGTCCTCCGGTGGCGCAGGATGGAGGTGGAGGCGTGGCCCGCGCTGCTCCGGCGCGCCGCCGAGCGCGCGCACGACGCGGCGCTCCTCAAGATCTGGGCGCGCCTCTTCCACGTCGTCAACTCGCACCTCTGGGCCGACTCTTCCGCCGCCGCCGCAGCAGACGACGACGCGGCCGACGCTTCCGCCGCCGGGGCCGACGCGGCCGACGCTGCCGACGCCGACCGCGCCGCCCACCTGGCCGAGTTCTTCGAGACCTTCCAGCGGCTGCTGCTCACGGCCGAGGCGGGCGCCTTCGACGCGTGCGCCGCCCTAGCTGCGGAGGGCGTAGTCTGCCACAGCCTTCCACATCCTGCTCGGCCTTCACACCCGCACGTTCACACCCGCTCGCGCACGTCTCCGCGCGGCATCCTCCAGAGCCGGTCTTCCGCGGCACCCCCCCCCGCCTTCACACGGCCTGTCCGGCTCTGGCCGCGCGATGCTCGGCTTGCACCGCTCGGACGCCTTCCCCACACGCCCCGACCCTGCTGCGCCCACGACGCAGGTACCTCTGGCTGATGCGCACCTTTGCGCGCCAGCTCGAGGTGGAGGTGCGCGCCGGCGTGCGGCAGGGGATGGGCGACCAGCGCTGGCGCTACGAGGGGTACGCGTCCATCCTCCACAACCTCGTGAGCTACTACGGCCAGTTCTCCGAGCCGCTGCGCCGCGCCGTCGCCGACAAGCGCGCGCCGGTCGAGGCGCGCCTCAAGGAGTTTGCAAAGCTCGCGCAGTGGAGGGATTAAGTAATTGATTAATTAATTGATTAATTAAGGCGCGCCTCAAGGAGTTTGCAAAGCTCGCGCAGTGGAGCGACCGCAACTACGACGCCCTCCGGCAGTCGGTCGAGCGCTCCCACGCCTCGCTCTCGCGGGGCGTCCGGCTGGTGCAGGAGCTGCTCGAGGTGCCCGCCGCGACGTTGCTGCTCGGCACTCTCAACGGGCAGGAGGGCGCGGCCGCAGACGCCGCCGCAGACGCCGCCACAGACGCCGCCGCCGACGCCGGCGCCGCCAGCGCCGCCGCCAGCGCCGCCGCCGCCGGCGCGCCGCCGCCGCCAGAGGGAAAGGCTGCGGCCGCCTGCCGCGACGAAGGCGGCGCGGCGGAGACGCTGCTCTGTGCCGGGCTGGCGATCGGGCCGGGCGCCCCGCGCGTGGAGGGGTCGTGGGCGGAGGCGTGCGCTTCATCCCTGCGGGCGGGCGCAGGGGCGCCGCCGCTGTCGCAGGTGCCGCGGCTGCCCGCGCTCCGCGCGCGGATGGCGAGCATCTGCCGCGGCTCCATTCTGAGCGCCGCCGCGGCGGCGGGCAGCGCGGAGCGGTGCGAGCGGGTCGACGCGCTGCGCTGCGACATCGTCGCGCGTGCGGCGGAGCTCCGCCCGATGGGCGGCAAGCGCGCGCGCATGGCAAAGCACAAGGCGCTGGTCGACCTGCTCAAGCACCTCGCGGCGCTCGGCCTGTCCTTCGGCTCGGCCGCCGCCGACCCGCGGCAGCACGCGATGGCCGACCTTTTCCAGGTGCGGGCGGCCCCGCTCGACCTCGCTCGCGCCGCGGGCCGCCAGTCGGGCTCGCTCGTCCTGCTCGGCGAGCGCTGGCGGCTGGCTTGGCGGCGCGGCGACGAGCTCTACTACCGCGCGCTGCTCAAGCTGACGCAGCTGAGGGAGGCGCGCAGGCGGCCTCACGAGGACCTGAGCGGGCGCGAGGTGCAAAAGGCGGCCGGCTTCGTCGAGCACGGGTTCGCGCTGCTGCTGCGCCAGCGCGAGGCGCTGCAGGCAGCGGTCGAACACTGCGCCGCTCTGGACGCGCGGCTCGAGCGGCTCGCCAACCTGAGCGCGCGACCTTCCGCCCCTGGGGCGGGGGGCGCGCCGGGCGAGGCGCTTGGCGAGGTGCCTGGCGAGGCGCCTGGCGAGGCGCCTGGCCAGCCGCTGCTGGCGCCGCCGCGCCGCGCCACCTTCGTCCGCCGGGCGGCCGCACTCGGCGCGGCGCTCGTGGCCCAGTGCTTTGAGCACGCGGCCGTCTTCAAGGCCTTTGGAGCCGCGCTCGGCGGCGACGGCGCCGAAGTGCGCTCGGCCGGCGCGGCGATGGAGCGCGCCGCGTGCGAGCTGCAGGCGAGCGCGATCCCCGCCGAGCTCGCCGCGGAGCGCGAGGCGGGCGGCCTAATCACCAGCGACGATGTGGGCCGCGCGTCGGCGTTTGGAGCGACCGTCGCGGCGCTCTCGCGCGAGCTCGAGAGCTGCGCGCGCCGCCTGTCGGAGGAGGAGCGGGAGGTGGCCGCCCCCCTCCTCTCCGCGCTGGACGCGGCGGCGGGCTCGCTCGCCGCCGGCCCGGTCGCCGGTGTGGAGGAGGGGAGCGCCGCCGCGTCGAGCGAGCCGCTGGCGCGCGTCGCCGCGGCGGCGGAGGAGGCGGTGGCGCAAGTGCTGCTGGCGGTGCAAGGGCTGCGCGAAGCCAGCTTGCAGGCCCAGCAGCTGCGCCGCGGCGGCGGAGCCGGCGACGGCGGTGGAGACGGCGGCGGTGGCGGCGGCGGCGGCGGCGGCGGCGGCGGCGGCGACGGCGGCGGCGACGACGATCCCCCTCGGAGCCTGCTCGCCGATCACGAGTCGCTGCAGGCGCTGCTCGCCGCCGCGCGCGCGCCGCACGTCGTGGCCAAGGTGGATGCGCTGCTCGACGCGCTGCGCGAGCTCGGTGCGAGCGGCGCCGACGCGCGGCACCTGCGCCTCGCGTCGCAGCTTGTTGAGCAGGCGCGCCCGCTGCTGTCGCTGCATTTGGCGGCGGCGCGGTGGGCGCTGCACCAGACGCTCGGACTGCACGGCTCTCTGCTCCGGCTCGAGATCGTCCTGCTCGGCACCTTCGGTGAGCTCTTCGCGAAGGGCTATTGCACCGCCTCGCCCGACGAGGACGGCGAGGGCGGCGGCGGCGGCAACGGCGGCGCGGACGACAACGCGGAGGGGACGGGCATGGGCAGTGGCGAAGGCAAGAAGGACGTGTCGGACCAGCTGCAGGAGGAGGGGCAGCTCGACGGCGACGACCTCGTGCCGGAGGAGGAGGCGGCGCGAGGCGAGGAGGGTCGCCGGCAGGAGGGGAAGGAGGAGGAGCGCGCCAAGGACGAGGAGGGGGTCGAGATGACCAACGATTTTGACGGCGAGATGGTGGATGGCCGGGCGGCGGCCGTGTTTCGTTTCCCGAGCCGATCTTTCCGGTGCATAGGCGAGATGATGGACCTCGAGCAGCCCGACGAGGCGAGAAGCTCCGACGAGGAGGGCGAGACGCAGGACGAGCCAGAGCACGCGATGGGCGAGCTGGACGGCCTCAACCTTAGCCGGCGGCCGTCTGTCTCTCCCGCAGCCGCTTTTTTTTTTTGTGGGGGGGTTTGGGGGGTAAAACCAAGAGTTTTTGGACAAACGCCTTGGGGACGCCCCCCAGGGGGGGGAGCCCCACCGGAGGGGGTTTGCTTTTTTTCCGGGTGGGACTTCCCCCCCTCCCCTCCTTTTTTTGGTTCCCCTCCCCTCCCCTCCAAAAAAGGGCCCCCCCCCCCCCCCCCCCCAAAAACCCACCCACCAACCCACCAACCCACCAACCCACCAACCCACCAACCCACCACCCCACCACCCCACCAACCACCACCACTTTTCACCCCCCCCCCCCTCCCCCCCTCCAGGGCGACGAGAAGGTCGAGCGCGACGCGGAGGTTGCGCCGGGCGCCGAGGCGCAGCTCGAGGCCAAGGAGGAGGCGGAGGAGGAGGAGGGGCAGACGGGCAAGAAGCGCAAGCGGGAGGAGGAGGAGGAGGAGGCGCAGCCTGCGGCGGAGAAGGAGGCGCCCGACGGGGCGGAGGGGGGGGAGGATCCGCCGGCGGAGGAGGAGGAGGCGGCAGAGGAGGGCCGGGTCAAGGCCGAGACGGAGTACGAGGACAGCCACTACAAGGACCCCTCCAGGCCCACCCCCGGGGAGGAGGAGGAGGAGGAGGGGGGCGAGGAGGCGGGCGAGATGCCAGAGGAGGCGCCCGAGCAGATGGATGCGGACGACGCCGACGGCGCGGGCGAGGAGGCGGAGGGTGGGGCGGACGACGACGGCGGCGCCGACGCCCCGCCCGCCGCCGAGGAGGCGGCTGCGCCCGAGGGGAGGGATGGGGAGGAGGAGGAGGAGGAAGGCACCGGCGAGGCGCCGCCGCTGGACGAGGGCGCAGAGGCGGACGAGGAGGCGGAGGAGCCGAGCGCGCTGCCCGGCGGCGCCGCCGAGGAGGAGGAGGAGGAGGCCGACGCCGCGCCCGACGCGGAGGAGGCGGCCGGCGAGGAGGGGGAGGCGACGACGGCGCGGAGGGAGTACGATGAGCAGCAGGTGTACGAGGGGGAGGGGGGGCGGTACGCCGCCGGCGAGGCGGCAGAGGCGGAGCGCGCCGACGAGGCCGAGGCGCAGGGCGAGCGGCACGCCGACGAGGCGGCGGCGCAGGCGGCGGCGGCCAGGTCGGGCGCCGGCGAGCGGGAGGGCGGGGAGCGGGCGCAGCAGCAGCAGGCGGGGCCGCAGCAGCAGGGCGGCCCGCCGCCCCGCTCGCAGCGCAGCCGGCCGCAGCCGAACCCGTTCGACGCGCTCGGCGACGCGCTCCAGTCCTTTCACAGGCAGCTGCAGCTGCTGCAGCGGGCGGCGCCGGCGGAGGAGGCGGGGCCCGAACCGCCCGCCGACTCGCCGCCCGAGCAGGGCGGCGGCGGCGGCGACGAGCTGCCCGCCGACGGCGAGTTTGAGGTTGTGGGCCGCAACGAGGCGTCCGACACGCAGGCGCGAGATATGGGGAGATATGGGGGGGCATGGGGGAAATTTTATGGGGGAGATGTGGGGGAGATATGGCGTCCGACACGCAGGCGCGCGTGAACCCGCACCGCCCACGTGACTGAACCCACGCCGGATTCGAGACTCTGGAGGTATGGTACTAGGTGCTCGCCGACGCGGACGAGCCGCGGCTCGCGCAGGAGGAGGGCGCGCCGCCGCCGCCCGAGGAGGCGGCGGAGGCCGCGGCCGACGACCCCGCCGACGAGTCTGGCGGGGCGGGCGCGGAGCCGGCGCCGGAGGAGGAGGAGGCGGCGGCGGAGATGGAGGTCGAGCCTTCGGCCGAGCGGCGCGCTGGGCGCAGGCGAGGGGGTGCGCTTGCCGACGGGGCGGCCGAGGCGGCCGAGGCGGCCGAGGGCGGCGCTGACGGCGGCGAGGAGGAGGCGTGGGATGTGGAGCGCGAGGCGGCCGCCGACGCGGAGGACGCGGGCCGTGTCGGCGCGCCGGCGGGCGGGCGGCTGGCAGGCGCGGAGGAGGAGGAGGCTGCCGCCGAGGAGGAGGCGGCGCAGGAGGCGGCGCTGCGGGAGGAGGCCGAGGACGCGGCCGACAAGCTCGCCCGCATGCGAGAGGAGCTGGAGCGGCAGGTCGCCGGCTGGCAGCTGGGCGGCGAGCGCGCAGTGGAGAGCGAGGCGCTCTGGCGGCGGTACGAGGCGCTGACGGCGCCGCTCTCGCAGGAGCTGTGCGAGCAGCTGCGGCTGATCCTCGAGGCGACGGTCGCGAGCAAGCTGCAGGGCGACTACCGCACGGGGAAGCGCATCTCGATGCGCAAGGTGATGCACCGTCCATCGCCCGGTGAATGGCCCAAGTCGTCAGTTGACGGTAATGGAAAACCCACTTGCGCAAGGTGATCCCGTACATTGCCTCCGGCTTCCGGAAGGACAAGATCTGGCTCCGCCGCACAAAGCCGTCCCAGCGGCAGTACCAGGTGATGCGCCGCATCGCCACGACGCAGAGTCGACCATAGGCGCCTCTGAAAACACGGTCTCGTCTCGTGTCAGGTGATGCTCTGCATTGACGACTCAGAGTCGATGCGCTCGACGGGCGCGGGAGGGCTGGCGTGCGAGGTCGCCCCGCCTCCCCTCTCCTCGTCTCGCCGCACGATCACCCTTCCCCGCCCCCGCTCTCCTTCGTTGCCACACCGCTGCACCACTCCCACTCCCACGACCGCCTTTCCCCGGCCTCCCCCCGTTCCTGATTGCCACCCCACCGTGGCTCTCATTCACTCATTCATCCATGCATTCATTCATTCACTGATTGATTAGATCACCCCCCTGCGGCTCTCATGAATCCACTCCTTCTTGCCCCCCCCCCCCCCCTCCCCCCTCGGCCCTCAGGCGCTCGCGCTGCTGTGCGGCGCCCTCTCGCGCCTCGAGGTTGGGCAGCTCGCCGTCGCCTCTTTTGCCGAGCGGGTGCGGCTGCTGCACCCGTTCGACCGGCCCTTCTCGGCCGAGGCGGGCGCGTACATGCTGTCGCGCTTCTCGTTTGCGGAGAAGGAGACCGACATGGAGGGCCTCCTCCGCACGGTCGTGCAGACGCTGCGTCTCGCGCGCGAGCAGCAGCGCGCCGCGGCGGAGCAGATGCAGCTCGCCATCATCGTGTCGGACGGCCGCCGCTCGCCGTCGTGGGGCGACCCGTCGCTCTGGGTGCGGCGGGCGGCGGAGGAGAACATCCTCCTCTGCTTCGTCATCGTCGACGCGGCGGCCAACAAGGACTCGCTCCTCGAGCAGAGGCCCCCAGACACTCTCCCAGACAGTCCCTCGACACTTCCTCGACACTTCGTAGGACTCGATCCTCGAGCTCAAGTCGGTCAGCTACCCCGGCGGCAAGCTCACCATCTCGAGCTGGATCGACGCCTTCCCCTTCCCGTACTACATCGTGCTGCGCGAGCTGCGCGCGCTGCCGCACGTGCTCTCCGACGCGCTCCGCCAGTGGATCGAGCTCGTGAGTGGGATGAGCTGAGGAGGGGGGGGGGGGGGGGGGACATCCGGCCCCGTGGCCCCTGTGTGAAAAAAAAAGGTGTGTGTGTGAATGTGTCCTTCCAGCGCGTCCTGTCCGAATGTACCTCCCCGTGCGTCTGCTTGGAGCAGCCGTCGCGGGGCCGGCTAGACCTTCCTGCTGCCTGCCCTGGCTAGCACGTTTCAGAGATGTCACCAGCCGTGCCCCAACGGTCTAGCATACACTCAAATGGGCATTTGTGTTTCTGTGTACGTCACTCACATTCATTTACGGTTGGTTCATCGCCACTCACATTCATTTCAGATTTCTCACAAGCATTTTAAAATGTGCGGAGATACAGCGCCCCGCCGCGGGCGCCAGAGGCCAGTCCTCCACGATTAAACATCTATGTGTTAGATGAGACAGATCGCAGGCGTTATACCTTGCACAACAGCTGCGACAAGTCAGCTATCAATTTCATCTCTTGCCATCGCGGGCAAGCGGCTCGCCGTCGACGTCGACCTCGTCGTCGCGGTAGAAGCCGTCCCAATTGCGCGGCTGCACCTTGAGCACGATCTCCTCGTCCTGCTCGATCGGCCCCAGCGTGGCCTTGCACGCGAGGCGCCAGCGGGGAAACCGCTTGGCCACCATCTGGACCTCTTGGGAGCTCGGCTCGCTCAACGCATCGAGCCCCTTGGCCACCTCCACGGCGCAAGTGCAGCACGTACCTGCAGCGGGAAAACACCGCCTCAGGGTGTGATTACGGCAATCTCGTGCCGAGTCTTCAGAGCAGCGCGTGAGCACGAGGGCTACGAATGCCGTTAGTACAGCCACGACGGCTGCACACAGCCGAGAGCGTGTCCTCTCGAGCGCTGGCTGGAGTCCAAGAACACGTACCACCTTAAAAGGTATTCCCCTTCTAGAGCCCACGCGCCCTCGCCGCCGCAGTCCCCCGTGCCCACCTAGCCGAAAGAGAACCCCTTGCGGACGCTCTCCCACAACCAGCCCATGCAGTGTACGGGGAACATGAGCCGCCCTACGCTGTCTAGGCTCTGACTCGCCCCCGCGTCGAAGCGCCGCGCGAGCGGGTCGTTGAGCGCGACGCCGCTCGAGAGCATCGCGCGGCGTAGGTTGGCGCCCTGGTAGAGGGTCATTCTCGCATCCTCCCGCCCCTCGGCCTCGGGGAAGCGGACCGTCACCGTCGCGCGGGGCTTGCGCACGAGCCTGCGGCGTGCGTGTGTGTGTGTGTGCGTGTGTGTGTGTGTGTGTGTGTGTGTGTGTGTGTGTGTGTGTGTGTGTGTGTGTGTGTGTGTGTGTGTGTGTGTGTGTGTGTGTGTGTGTGTGTGTGTGTGTGTGTGTGCGTGTGCGTGTGTGAGTGGGGGTGCGTGGGAGTGGGAGTGGGAGTGGGAGTGTGTGCGCCGCTTCACGCTCACGACGACGCCGACGGCCGAGGAGAGGGAGGAGAGCCGCTCGACGACAGAGTCAAAGGGCAGGCCCTCGAGGCTCACGCCAGTCGTTGGCTTACCCTCCTCTGCCGCCGCGACGAGAGCGTCGCCAGGCAGCAGCGGCGCCGTCGCCTTCTCGCCGTTGCCGCCCTCGACGAGACCCTCGACGGCGACAATGCCGGCGTCGCCACTCGTCGCAATCTCGTCGAGTAGGAGGCCGAGAGATGGCGCGTCGTCAGATCGCGGGATCGTGACTGTGACGACCTGCGCCTCTGTTCCAGCCTCGGCTGCGGCCAAGGTTAGAGCGCCGTCGACTTGGTCGCGGCGTGAGAGGAGCTTCCAGTCTGCCGGATCGAGCGACATCGTGGGCCGAACACGCACCGCCAAGGGCGGATGCGGAGTGCCGCTGAGCAGCAGGCCGAAGGCGGCCATGGAAGGGAAGAGTGGAAGGGAAGAGCATCACTGTCGTCTGGCGCGAAGCCCGATGCGAAACTTGCAGGCAAAGTCTCAGCGAAAAAAAGAAAATTTGTAGCGACCGCTCCCACCGCAAGCAAGCTCGTAGCCTAACAATCGAAAGAGAACGTTCAGTCGAGGCTGCGTTCAACTTGAGCACTTGAGCACTGGATAGGGTCGATTCCGCGTGGTACGGGACCCCTCGATCGTCTCGCCCTCCCTCACTGGTGTGTGTGTGTGTGTGTGTTTCGGGGCCCAGAGATAAAACTTCTGATGCCATGCATGACCTAGTAGTGTCCCCAGCTATGGGCGTGTCCACGTTGGAGCCAGGTGTGGTGTGGGCGCGAGAATAGCTCCGCCGTTAATGGAGGCAACCGATGCGAGTCGACTGGTGTGTGTCGTCGTGGTTTCGTATCAAGAATACTCACTCACTCACCCTCACTGGTGTGTTCATTCGGAGACCACCGGGCCGTATTTCTTCCTGCTGTTGGCGCCTGGATGTGTCTCTCCCGGCCTCTCGACTCCCCTCTGACCTAACGAGGACCTCTGCATGAGAGAGAGGCGCGACGCACAAGGGGCTAGGTCCTAGGACGCGGCGAGGAGGGGAGCTTGTGCTTCGGGTGGGCCACTATTGCCGGAAGGGACATCACCTCGCCGCGACAACCCAATCCGCGCTTTTGCGCAAAATGCTGCATCCTGTACAAGTGATGGCATACGCTCTTAGGGTACCCCTAGGCTTAAAAGGGTGGGCCCTGGGGCGCCTGCGGCTTAAACGGCTTAAAACCTGCCATGGCAGGTTTTAAGAGCTGCTGGGCCGCCGATTCCTTAAACGGTCTTAAACGCTTAAACGGTGCGGGAGAGCTCCCGAGGTCGATGGTCCGGGAGGCTCCAGACGCCGGAGGCCGGGAGAAGCTGGCTACAGTCAGCTGGCACGCGTCCCCTATGCGAAAAGAGGGACGCCCCCCCGTGCCTGCAATCTCCTCATTTACGCTAACAGATGTTATATCCGCGCTATATCCGCGCTCGCTGCTTTCGTTTGCGCAAAATGCCGCATGCGATCCAAGTGGACGACTATAAGTGAAGTCATACACAAACATTCTTCCGGCCAGCACTCTTCCCCACCTACAACACAATATCAGTTCTTGTTAATTACATTATTAACCACGCACTATCTCTACCTAGATACATTCACATACACCTAATAACTATCCATTCTTCCTGTTCGTTCTGCTTCTCCACCACCACTCTCACGCGGCTTGCCCCACCATGCACAGGGTGGGCCTGGGGAATTCCACGTGGTCGCGCATGTGTGTCGCGGGGGACGTCGAAAGTGAGATCTTGTATTCAGGCACCACGGGCCGGGGGCGGAGGAGAGGTCCTCACGTCGCAGATGAGGACCTTCTTGCCGTGAGGACCTCTCCGTTCAGGACCAGTTCAGGACATGGTTACATTTGCTGTTTTTGGCACAGTGTGTTGATTCACGGCGACACAGAGCCAGCACCCCTGCGGACACGCGTTGGAGGGTTTCACTCAAGGAGCCACTAGTCAACGGTGTGTCACCGAGGTCATCACTAGACAGGTCTCACGGGGCGCAAGCATGCCGAGACGTGGTGGCAGCGGCGGCGGCGGTGGTGGTGGCAGCGGTGGTGGCAGCGGCGTTGTCGGTGGCGGCGGTGTCGGTGTTGGTAGCGGCGGTGGCGGTGGCGGTGGTGGCGGCGGTGGCGGCAGTAGTGGTCGCGGCGGCGGCGGCGGCGGCGGCGGCGCCGGCGGCGGCGGCAGCGGTGGCAGCAGGCGCCAGCCCGCCCGACCGGGTCGTCGGCGGCCCAGGGCGCGAGCGTGCGGACAGCGCTGCATGTGAGGGCTGCTGCGTGTGAGTGTGAGTGTGTGTACACACACACACACACACACACGGCTGCGCGGAAGTTGTTTTTCTTTTTGGGGGTCTCGCCCCCGTCTGGAGATGGCCGATGCGACGAGGGTGCTCGTTGAGCGGTTTGGCTACGTGCTCGATGAGGAGCTGTTCGACGACGAGCAAGTGCGAGCAAACGCAGAAGCAAGCCGCGTGTCAGAGGAGCAGGCACGCGGGCGGCTGATCGCCGCGGCACTGGAGTGCGGCAGAAAAGTGGTGTCTGCCGTGGGCAGCCATGGAGGAGCGTGGCTTAGCGAGGCCGTGGAGTTCTCGCGCGACGAGGAGGCTTTTGCGCTGCTCTCCTTGGGAGCAGACCCCAATGGAGATGAAGAATGGGCACCGCTTCATGTTGCAGCAGCGCGAGGGCAGCTGGCGCTGCTGCGGAGGCTCCTTGCCGGACCAAACATCCGCGTCGACGCGCTTGGAGGACCTGCCAACCGTACGCCACTACTGCTTGCATGCGGCGCCCGCCGCCACGAGAACGGTTTCGATGACGAGCCTGCAGCGGACGGCCCTGAGATGCAGGAGGTGGTGCGCCTCCTGCTGGGCGCTCGTGCCGATCCGAACCTTGCCGACGTCGATGAGTGCTCGGCGCTGATGTATGCCGCACCTCAGTGCGAGCCCATCGTGCGGATGCTTCTCGAGGCTGGCGCCGATCGGGAACACGTGACCTACTCGGGGGCCCGTGTGCAGCTGCCCGCCTCCGTGGATTGATCCGTGTGCGGTGCGGAGGACGCATTTAAACGTTCATTCACGGCCGCGCCCACTGCCTCTCCGCGATTCCCCGTACAGGTACGGCCGAGCCCGATCGGCGCCTGCTGCCAGGCCCGTTCCCCGTGGAGCCGACGCGCCGGTGATCCTCCGGCTGGCAACGCCCGGGCCTCACCATCGACCTCGGGAGCTCTCTCCCGCACCGTTTACCAAGCGTTAAGACCTTTCAAGGAATTGGCGGCCCAGCAGCTCTTAAAACTTGTTTTAAGCCGTTTAAGCCGCAGGCGCCCCATACTCAAGATCTCGTTACTGCTTACTATGATAAACTCAGAGATAGAGTACTCTAGCATCGATAGTAACGGCTCAGAGTTACTCAAGACCTCGTTACTACTTTCTACTCTGAGACGCTTATCACGAACCGCTCCATGGCCTCGGCCCAACCATCCTGAGCGTTGCTGCCGACCACGTGCTGCGCTGCGCGCCGCACGGCCTCGCCACCGTTCCCCATCGCCACGCTCGTCCCCGCCCGCGCCAGCAGAGGGAGGTCGTTCTCGCCGTCGCCAATGGCCAGCACGTCCTCCCACCCCAGCCCCCATCGGGCAAGTAGCGCGGTCGCGGCGGTCCCCTTGTCCGCGTCCGCCGGGATCACCTTGCTTCGGAACAGGATTTGCTCACACACACGAAGGATCGGGCGAGGGTGTGTCTAACGCCGAGATGGCGGTCAACGACCGTATATAATGCCGGGAGCACGCCTCGAGCATCCAATCGAGCGCCTGAGTGAGCGCGCCGCCCCCGTTGCAGACGGTGGCAGAGACCGAGGCGCGCAGCGCGTCCGAGTCCGAGCCGGAGGCGTGCAGGAGCAGGATCTTGGTGACCGCCGCCGCCTCGCAAGCCGCGGAGAGGTCCGCCACGCAGCGGAGGGGCGAGTCGCCAACCTCGGCGAGTTGGGAGAGCAGCGCCGCGGAGCCGCTGTCGTGGAGCGCCTCGTCGCCGACGTACGCAATCGGACAGCAGGAGATCGCGCCCGGCGCCGCCAAGGTGCGCAGGAGAGCAGACGGCAGCTCCCGCGGCAAGGTTGCAGGAGGTAGCGCACTGCCGTCCGTGTCATAGGCGATGCAGCCGTTGCAAAAGACGCCCGGCGAGCCGCCGCGAAGCGCGGGCTCGGTCAGCACGTCCTCCGTCCAGCTCCCAGCGCGAGCGCGGCCTGTCGCGGGGACGACCCGCACGCCGAGGCGGTCCAGTTCACGCAAGACGGATCGCGAGCGGGGAGAAAGAGAGTGCGCCGGGCTCAGCATCGTGCCGTCGCAGTCGGTGAAGACGACGCTCGGCCGTGCCAAGGCAGAGGTCGCGGCGGTTATTTGGAAGGCCACCCACATCGGCCGAGAGCATGAGAATTTTACAAATGGAGAAAAACACCCTGGTCCGTAACCCGATACGGATCATCCGGCCCGCTGGGTGCGCTTCTGAGCTCCCCGGCCCTGGATGTGAGGTTACCGACTGCACTCCAAGTGCTCCAAGTGCGCTTATGGAAGCCCCCCGGCGTGTGTGTGTGTGTGTGTGTGTGTGTGTGTGTGTGTGTGTGTGTGTGTGTGTGTGTGTGTGTGTGTGTGTGTGTGTGTGTGTGTGTGTGTGTGTGTGTGTGTGTGTGTGTGTGTGTGTGTGTGTGTGTGTGTGTGTGTGTGTGTGTGGAGGCGCTCTCCGATCGAGTCGACTGGTCTGAGCTTGGACGACCACGGGCACGGACGGAGGCAAGCCTCACTCAACGACCCGTGGCCTGGCCGCGTCGCCGAAAGGGATCGCACCACAGACCAGAGAGAGGGAGGAGCTAACCATACGGAGAGCCCTCAGAACGACCCCCCTATCCCAGGAGAGGGTGGGTGGGGAAAGCGAAGAACCGGCGCAGCCAGAGTGCTGGCGCGGTCGCAGAGCCTGGCGCGGCCACAGAGCTGGCACGGCGCCGGGCCAGGAAGAGCAGCGAGAGAGCTGCAGGAGCAGCACGCAAAAGAGCGCGGCCACGAGGCACGCGGAACGTGCTTGGACGTATGT